TTTGCCATTCTCCGTTAACTTCTACAACTTTCTATATTAAATACTGTTTTTTTCTTAAATTCTCTGCTTTCCAATGATATATTATACGTATACCTTCTGACTAGTATTTTCGGGGATTCATTATCGACCTGGATAAGCATTTTTTTTTTTTTCTCCTTTATTCAATTATCAAATTCTTTCAAAAGTTATTTGATAATTGTTAAAAGTTGTTTCCGTAACTCTTAATAACAAGAGATAGTTAATTATTTAAAATAAACCATAATAAAGGTACTTTAGAGGAAGACGCATATGTACATTGGGCATTTAAGCCCTGTAAAATAACATCAACGGAGATAAAACCTAAATGATATTAAAGACCACTTAATTATACAATGATACACGTAGTTTAATCAAAATCTTTAAGCCATTTATGAGAAAATTGTAAAAATGTGTTTCAGCGTTGATATAAAGTGGCACATTCGGTTAGCCGATTTTAAGGAAAAAGTAGCCAGGACATCTAAGGCATATACCTATCTTAAATACATAATATCAGTTTCGTACAACTTTTCTTTTTCGAGCTAGAGTGTCCACATACACACAGACCATTTTTCGTGACTTTGTTAATTGGACTTAGGGTACCCAAAACGTATATTTCCGTCGAAAACTCAGATTCAAAAATTTCTACGATCGCAATATTTACCCTTACTATATATTGCATATATACATAAGTGAAAGTAACAAATATAGCATCCAATCATGAATTATTGAATTTAATGTCAAATATAAGATTCAAATACATAAATAAAAAAACAACACTACCATAAGAGAAATAAGGAAGTATAACTAATATGCTAGAAATTAAATTGTTTATCTTGTCAGGTAGTGACGTAGAGACTTATCAGCAAGCTACTTGAATATGATTGAGAATACTTCTTTGAGTACTAGATTGCAAGTGTCGCATTTGGTTGTCTATAGATGTAATTTAGGCTTGAGGTTGCCATATTCGCTTAAACTATCAACTACCTTCAACAGGCCCTTTCAGTTGAGATCAAGGGCTTATCTAAGATTGGTCGCCTCCTGTATATTTTTGAAATCCTAAATATAGTGGAATAAATGTGAAACAGATGCACCTGTCAAACAGACATACAGATTCTGAAGTGACTGAACAATCTGGTAAGGTCGCAATCTCAAGTGAAAGGGACACATTTGGGACTTGATAATCCCTTTTGAACAAGCAGGAGTCAAAAGCAGCAATGTAATTGAAGCAAATTTGTTCTAATTTTAGCTGGTAAGGACTATTAGGAATTACCAACAGTGGTTATACTATGAGAATATGCTCTCTTAAGTATCCCATTTATACCATGAACATAAATCTTGGTCCAATGAACAAGATGAAATCAAACTTCTAAGTGGTAACAAATGATTTAACCAGTACCACTGCAAGCCATGAAAGGTCTAGTTTAGAGTTCAGTACTATGTGATGAAGTACTGCAACAAGACCAACGGTTACACAGAAACGTGATTGGATCAAGATCACGCTCAACCGCCAGATTTTTTCAGTTAATTAATTGTTTAATTAAAAGCACCCAAATTAGACGAGGCTGGGTGTGCCTCAGGAAGGTCTCCTGACCCCAGGATCAATCCACGGCTGATGAAAAAATTCTAGTAGTCGGCCAGACTCGAACCTGAGGCATTGAGCTCTGGAAAACAGTGCTCACTCAGTGAGCTACACCATTCCCTTAAATCACCATTTACCTAATTCATATTTTGTCAGATAATTATAGCCCTTTAATGTCCATTTGGTAATTGGCAAATTCCTTCAATCACAAATATCTATCTAATGAATAATCAGATGGATTCACATACTTGTCAATTGCAATCAGGAAGTTCAATATATCATCGTTGGATAGTAATTCTCCAATCTTAAACAAACAGTCACCATTTATCAGAACAATTTTTGTTAGGCTGGAATTTATCTGAGAACTTTTTAATTTATCCAGAAGATTACCTCTTTGTATACATGGCCTCAAGCTCACCAGAATAATGTCTTGATAGATTCTATATTTTTCAACTAAACTAACATCAAACGTTGCATTACTTAAATATAAAGGCTTCACAATACCATCTATTCTAACATAATCAAATAGTGAGAACATATTATTCATTTTTTCCATTTTCATACGAGATATTTCTAAAGCACATTCATCAAGATAGCATGATAGTTTGGGGTTATTTTTAAAGTTAATGTATGATTGTAAATCAGCTATTTTTCTAAAGTTATTTTGATAGTTCTTTAAAACAGTAATTTTAATCAATAACTGCGCACAAGATAGGTCACCCTCATGAATAGCCACATCAATAGGTGTGAAAAAACGGTTTAGAGATGAAGATCTCACAAGTATGTCAGCATCAAACTCCAATAGCTCTTTAATTATCTTTAAGTTTTTATAATATTTAACCACAAGAAATAGGACTGAATTACGTTTGTGGTCAGTTACATTGACATTTGCTCCATGTTTTAAAAGCTTTCTGACCATAGCCAATCCCTCCCTTTCAATGACTGCACAATGTAAGGGAGTTTGGCCAAAATTATTTTTCATATTGATGTCAGCACCATGTTTGAGGAGTACATCTACAATTGATAAACCTTTCTTCTTTGTTATTGCAGAGTGCAAGGCAGTTTCACCATCAATGTTCAAAGCGTTTACACTAGCCCCATGCAATAATAAAGTTTCAGTAATTTCTGGTGAAGTCACTAAATGAAGTAAAGTGTTATGGTCTTTCATAGCAATGTTGACATCAGCTCCAGATGACAAGAGATTCAAAACCTTACCTAGGTCACCTTTCACAGCGGCAAGGGCGAATGCCTCATTTATATTCCTATTCATCTTACACTTATAAGTAATAAACCAATCCATTAAGTTCAATATTAAACTAAATTCACAACGAACAAATTGAACTACACTTCCAAAATGGCGAATCGCGCCTAAACTGACACATTTATTCAGGTATCGATGTTTTAGCAATAGCATCACAAGGAGGTAGCTGTGTGATGTGTGAAGTGTTACTGAAAATTAAATAAGTACGTCTATTTTACGAAACAAGTAACTGGTGTTTCAACTAGTAAATCCTTTTTATTATATATTATTTTATTATTATATATAATAGTTTATTCTATTACAGTATTTTATTATTAGAGGGTCCTTACAACGATCAATATTATTGATTAATGAAGAGAAGGATGGTTGGGGTGATCAGTTAAAAATAAAAAGGCAAAAATAAATAATAATATTTATTTTAACATTTTCTGACGTTTCGAACTGAAGTTCAGGCCTTAATCAGGGCTGTTCGAAGAGATATTTCGAATAGAGAAATAAATATTATTATTTATTTTTGTCTTTTTACTTCTGACTGATCACCCCAACCAACCTTCTCTTCATTATTCACGACAGTCAACCATCAACCCACAATTACAAATATTATTGATTCCATATAATTGAAGGGGGGGGCATGTTCACAGGGTTGATGATACAAGAGCAGCCAAAAAACTACATATATAAGATCCAGATAGAGTGTCCTCCAAAGGAAAAACTAGATGTCAGGACAATGTAAGCAGTGTGTAGCGGACAATTAGCTCATCTGCCCTCTACCTGGAACCACTACATGTGCACGTTTAAGTATTATACCTAGAAGTTCTACTTTTATTTCATGTTAATTTAATATAATAAAACTACAATATAAAATTGTAAATATACATACATATGCATTATGAATACTTTTTAATAATAAAAATTTATAGTAATAAGATATACCACTATTCTCCAGCACTGAGTATTCCTCGGAGATCGGTCAGAAGGAGAGGACCACTAAAGAAGTTTACACCAGACTCTTCATCACCAGATCGATTTACGCCTGGACTTCCGTGGCCAATTGACTCTGGCGATGTTACAGACCAAGAAGAGAATAGTGAAGAATATGAGAACCCTGTGGAAGAATTCGAGATATTTGAGGAAGGTGTCAGAGACAACAAAGATTGCGGCGAAGCAGAAGAAGCAGTCGGCTCAACCTCATCGAAAAGTGCTGCTCAACCTGGACCAGCTGAGGATGCTTATGTGTCACCACGAATTATATCCCTAGAGGATCTAGATCTTCAGGTCACGGCCGTCGAAACGTCCCTCCTGTAGAGATCTAAACGTGTGCTCAAAGCACCAAAGAGGTTTTCTCCATTATGAACGGACGGGGGATGAAAATCCCTTTTTCAAAGAAGGAAGTGATGTGAGGGGAGCCTATATTGGAGGATTTGAGCTGCGAACTGTAAATCGATTGTTAATATATTTATTTTAGATAGTATTTAGTAGGTTATAATTATTAACTTTGTTATATATAGGTTATATTTAGCTTATAGATGTGGTTAAATGGATGTTAACAATATAGTATACTCGTAGAGATCAATTGTGTTTATTTATTGTTTTTTCCGACACCCATCTTACATTTTGGTGTCAGGTGTGGGCTAAGAGGCGGCCTGTATGTTCTCTTTTATTATTTAAGGTGGTTATCGCCGAGAACGCCTGTACACAAAGAAAATACAACTGGACTGGAGAAGGAGTGAAATCGAGGGATGCTGAGCTTTTTCTCGAACGCTTCGATCGGGTGGTCGACAGGTTTAGGTAGAATAATTCTGACTGAAGAGATGTACTCGTACCCAAACCATCAGGAGCTGCCGTCCTACTCTTCTCGAATGCTTTAATTTTTCCTCCGCCACTCTTTTGGGTATTTCTGTATCTGTCATTGTGGCCACATGTCCTGCCCAGTCTAGCTTACCCAGCTTTATCACCCAACGCTATCCGAGCCCTGAAATTAATTTATCTGCTTTTGGTAATTAATTTGTGTTTAGATTGTCTCATGTTTTAAAACATCTTAACTTAAAGGTTCCAGAAATTAATGGGAAAAGGTTAAAAAAAAAACTCTATAGAACAACAAAACATTCAATTGTCTGTTGAAACTTTTTGTTTGGAGGGGGAAGGGGTTGATACGATATGAGCTTGAAGTAACTATCTGCTTACGATGGTTGATTATTTCATATACGATATTAATAAAAACGAAATAACTCCTCGTATCTATAAATTGGAATTTTCGGTTGTTTAACGAAGTGGTGTACTGATTTTGATAAGAAGTATACTAGGTGTAAATCGTCAAATAAGACGGCAGAAAAAACAACACTGCCTATCAACTGAAGTGTTTGTGTTTTTGTTTAGGTGAAGGTTATAATTCAGGTACTTAGTAATAAAATGTAAAATTAAACTTTATGTGGGAAATAATCTTGGAATTAAATAAACAATAATCATTCTCAGGATTCCAAGATGTCATTTATGCATAGAACTTTACTTACTTCGAAATTACCACCAAAATCCAGTAGTCAACCAAGGTTTGAAATGAGTACTATTCTATTATTTATATTTTATCATATTGTCAGATATTCATCGTATGTACTATGTTGTAGGAGAAGAGGTAAACATGACTTTACACCTGTATCATGGAAAAAATATTTTGAAAATAAAAGAGATGTAGTTATCAATGGAAATAGCTTTAGGATCTATACTAGTGGAGATAAAGGTCCCTTGTTGGTATTTCTTCATGGTGGAGGATTTTCAGCTCTTTCCTGGGCTCTATTAAGTGTAGGTTTTTCATTGTACATTTTTAAAAATAATATAACTGTATGTTAACTTTAGTGTGTACTATATTGTGTAGCATTTTTCAGTCAATGCTGTGTGAAATGGTGGAATGTCAAATATTGGCGATGGACCTTCGAGGGCATGGAGATACGATCACCCAAAATGATGAAGACCTTTCAATTGAAACACTCTCAAGGTTTATCTACATATAATAAGCTTCACTAATGATAAGGTTTTTTGTTGGTTTCGATAAAACTTTTTTTTTAAATTTTTAGTGATGTTGTTGATGTCATTAACCATGTTCATGCAGAAATGCGCCCAGTTATACTGATTGGACACAGCTTAGGTGGGAGTATAGCTGTTCATGCCGCGCATAATTCAAATCTTTCCTCTCTGAATGGTATTGTTGTAATAGATGTCGTCGAAGGGACAGCTTTAGGTGCTCTTTCATCAATGCAAAGTATTCTTAGAGGAAGACCTCAAAGCTTTAACTCTATTGAAGACGCTATAAAATGGAGGTTTATATCTATACATTCTATTTCAAATAAATGTCCTTGTTTATTTTATAAATTCTGTATTTTATTTATTGTTGTTATTGTTATTTTAGTGTTCAGAGTGGCCAGTTGAAAAATATTGAATCAGCGAAGATATCAATGCCCGGACAGCTAAAAAAGTATGTAATTAACATAATAGTTATCGGTAATGCCCTTAAAAGTTTACAGCCCAAATCTTGACTAATATACACTAGTTAGATTTGAAAAACTCTTTTTATAATAGGTAAATCATGTATAATGGAAAGAGGCTTTAAAACTTCATGCTACATGCCATAGCAATGGAGCAGCAACCATAATTGTCAATCAGTATGTCAAATTAGGCAATTACTCTGACACAGTTTCCCATATTTGTGGTACCACTTTATAAGTGTCACTCCAACACGATTGATGGGCACTCAAAACCACATTATCACATTCTAGTTAAAATTTTAAAATGGCTTTATTAATGGAAACAGTTCGTGGCCTTGGTTTGAGAAGACTCTGACGGCATTTACTGTAATTTTGAGAAACAGAGCTTCTAAGTTACAATTTACTATATTATGAATATTTTGTTGCTTAGGCTAATAATTTTGTTTGTATAATATCTTTAAGCAATAAACATTCATTGATAACTTAATTTTACCACCTATTGGATATTGAAATTTTGCAGTAAGAACTTAGTTATTCCAAAATGCATTTTCACAGCATCAAAAATATATTTTAAACACATTTGGGGTTGAAATTTTATATTGATTGTAAGTAGAAGGTCGTGAGTAACAAATTAAGGTATTTTATTGTACCTACTGTAAAGATAGAGAATTTGACTAAAGCGCTGTTAGAATTTATGTTGTGATATTTTATCTACATTCATACAGGAAGTATTTTATTTCGGCATTAAATCCTTTTACAATCCTACACTCAATCGGTCTAATGTTAAGACAAAAGGAGCAGGCGGAACTAGAGTTGCAATGATAAAATCTTAAGATCAATTTATCAAATCAAGAAAATGTTAAATGGAGTATGGTTGGAACGATCAAGTGAAATGTTGGCTGTTTTTGTTAATTTTCAATAATCAGTCTTTGTGATAAACCAAGAAAAATTCCTCAAATTTGGGATTTAATTTTTAATGAATAGGTAGGGTATACATATAACAACATACATACATATATATATATATATATATATATATATATATATATATATATATATATATATATATATATATATATATATATATATATATATAACAATATACATATTGAATCCAACATTTTTGAGGTTTTTCATTTCATAGGGGGTATGTGGAATCAAAAAACTGAATTGAATAAAAATATTTCCTACTATGATTTTTTAACAAATTGATTTATTAAACTATTTTATCATTTTTAGGCTATATGAACTAAACTTTATTTATTTCAGAAGCAATATCCTACTTTTAAAGTATATATAAAGTAACCTAAAAGATAGGCTTGGCTGAGGATCCTAGATGTAAATTGTGTCATCAAGGAACAATGGATGCAGACCATCTAGACTCATGTCCTGCCTTGAGGGACATAACAGAAAAAATATTTTCAAATATATATATTAGAAAGTGTAATTTATACTGGGCAGCAAGATGTTGGATGGCCAAATGACCAACGACTGGCATAAGAGGAAAAAAAAAAACTTTTAAAGTATCGCCAATGTTGTTATAATTAAAGGGGAAAAAAAGAAAAAGGACAAAGATATGTTGTTGTTTTTTTTCTGAAAAAACAAAGAGAGTAAAAGTTTCAAAAAAATGTTTTGATCATCAATGATATGTTCATTGTAAAAACTTACATATATACTGTTAAATTAGTTTGTTTACACTTTATACAGGGTGTCCCATAAGTAGAGGGAAATATTTAAAAGGTTGATAGTAGACATCAAGATCAACAAAAAAAGTTCATATAAACAATTGCCAAATTTCCATCAGAAAAGTAGGAAATTTAAGATTAGTGTTTTTTTAAGCTAGTCATGGTTTTTGTTGAATAGGAAGCGATAGCATAAAAAATATTTGATTTAAGTAACTAAACATTGCTCCATAATAAACTAGACAAAATTTACTTTAAACGAAAGCAGAGTTTGTCATTGTTAAAACTATTTAAAGAGGCCTATTGAGCGGACATTTACAGCTAAGTTTTGTTTAAAAAAAATATATCATAAATTATTTGTCATTTTTTTTTTTTACCTTTAACAGTACTATATTTATCCTACTTTTAGAAAACTTCCTCATTTAATAAGCTTTTAAGTCCATATTAATTAAGTTGAGGTTTATTAGAAAAATTTTGAGATTCACCTCAAGTTGTGTAAAGAAATTATGTGATTTCCAACTCAGTAACCTTAAAGTACCTTTGTTTTAAGCAAAAATGACTACAATTAACTGTTTCAAAGTTTTTATTTCTTGTTTTCCAATGATATGTGATGTATTGTAATAAACATAATTGCCTAAAACACAACTTACTTAAAAATATAAAATCTTTAAATATGATTTTTTAAATATTTTTCGTGTAAAGTGGTTATAAAAATTGTGCTTCTCTCAAATTTTTCTAATAAACCTCAACTTAATTAATACCGACTAAAAGCTTATTTGAACGAGAAAGATTTTCTAAAATTGGGGTAACTTTAGTACACATTAAGGATGATAAAAAAAAAAAATCACAAATAATTTATGATTTTGGTTTATTATTTTCAATAATGGACCCAGAGTTTTGGAAAAATTACAAAACCCCCACTCAAAGGCTCAAGACACAAAAATCCTTCATGCTGAAGGCGATGGCACTACTTGAAGAAAGAGGGCTTGCTGCGAAAGAAAGGGAATCATTTATACATCCACAGTTACCAATTCACAATCATGCATTCAATGCAGAACTGCAACTCCTTCATAAAGTGGTTAAGAAAGAAACACCTGAATACGAGCTAAAAGCATTAGCATTAGAAACCATAGCTCAAAAGTACCCTCCTCAAGATTGGTTCCGTATCTATACCGACGGATCAGCTGAATCAGCCGTTAAAAATGCTGGAGCAGGTGTTTACTCAAGGGAATTCCAAATCAGCGCTGCGGTGGGTAAAGAAGGAACAAATATCGACAGTGAGATAGCGGCGATCCTCATAGCCTTAAGAACATTGTCTAGAAGGCGGAACCAGAGCGCTGTTCTCTTCATAGACTCTCAAGCAGCCATCCTCGCTGTTACAAACATGAATGAATGTGTATCGAGTGCTATATTGGAGGCAAATCCCTCCTCTCTAAGCTGACACTCCGAGGCGCCAATGTGGTCCTACAGGGGATTCCCAGCCATTGTGGGATTCCGGGAAACGTTGAGGCTGATAGTCTTACCAAGCGAGGAACAGATTTGCCTAAGCCGATACATCCAAAACATTACGATTCAATACGGCAAATGGTAAAGATGGTAGTAAAGTAAGAAATTAGAAAAGCACACTTGGACAAGGTGGAAGGGAAATGCTATGAGTGTTTGATAGATAATCGATTCCACTGAACTACCGAGAAGAGATGCAGTTGCCTGCTTCCACCTGGCCACTGCTCACGAATATCTGCAAAGTCATCTCCTCAAGATAGGAGTGGCTAAGGATCTTAGTTGTAAATTGTATCATCTAGGAACAATAGATGCCAACCATCTAAACATGTCCTGCCTTGACGGACAGAAGAGAAAAAACATTTTCAAATATGTATATTAAAAAATTAAATTATAATGGGCGCAAGGTGTCGGATGGTCGAATGACCAACGACTTTGGCATAAGAAAAAAAAACTGATTAAAATAACTTTAAATTATGTACCATTGCAGTTAGAACCTTCACAAACCAATTAATTCCAAAAGTTGTCTGTAGTTTGAACTGTATCACACTGTTACTTCCTTTATTTTTCAACTGATGCCGATAAAATTCATTTAGAATATAGACAACTTTGTTTTGAGTGATTTCTGATTGAAATTCAATTTCCCCAATTTCATTAGTTAAGAATTTTTCAAACCAAGGCCACAAGTTTTCTCTGTTTACTTTTAGACACTCTCAGTCATTTTAGAAATTGCATCTACAGTTAGATCATTTGTTCTTGAGTCCATCAATCATGAATTGAAACTTCTAAAGTTATACACTATTGGTTGGCACACTTTTAACTGAATCAAAGTCAATTTAAGAGAAGACTTTTTTTTTTTAAGGAGACAATTAAATATATGTTGTCTTATTTAGATAAGTTTAAGGAGAAAATTTCTGTGGAGAATTATATATTTATACCATAAAGAATAAAAAATGTTTTTCATGCTAACGTACTGAAATTTTTTTAAAAATAGTTTATAACATGGAAAGTTTTTCAAAAACTTTGTTATGTATGAAAAAGGCGTGTGTTATTGAAATTTAATCTGGGTTTAATTGCATGGCATGGCTTGTCAATGACAAACATACTGTTTAAAAAATATGATTCATCTAAATGAGGAAAGAATCTGATGTTGTAATACGACAGTCATAATAATGGTTATTTTATTTTTAATCTATCAAATGTTTTCAATTTTATAATTCTTTTAGCTTGCTAAAAATTCTTTTTCTCGTGTCATTGAGTTAACTCCAAAGATATTTATTGAATATTTATTGTTGACCGTTGCATTATAAAGGAAATGGTCCGGGGTGGCGGTCATAAATAGGCTAAATAGTGGCAAAACTATTTTATTAAAAGCCAACGTTTCGACTCGACTTTATAGGTCTTCTTCAGGGCTAGAACGAACAAGATACAAAAAGATAGAGAATTGTGGTAGTTACATAATACTTAGACAAAAATTATAAACAATGTGAATAACCTTATTAAAATTATGTATAGTAAGTACATTAAAATATAAACAGAATAAGCTAAGTAACAAGATCCTAAACTGAAGTAAATACCTACCCTTACCCTGGTTTTCCAGTTCTAAGTGAAACTCCTAGTTGAACACATCTGTAAGTCTCTAATTTTATTTACTTATTTATTTATTTTTCATTTCTTTCCCCACATTCCTTTATGGCTATTATTTCATATTATATCCTTTTTCCTTTTCTTTCAATCTCTCCTGTAGATCTGTAGAAGTATATTCACATTAGCATATATTATATATTATACTACAACAATTGTTACCATCTATTTACTTCAGTTTAGGATATTGTTACTTAGCTTACTCTGTTTACATTTTAATGTACTTACTGTTTATAATTTTAATAAGGTTATTCACATTGTTTATAATTTTTTGTCTAAATATTATGTAACTACCACAATTCTCAATCTTTTTGTATTTTGTCCGTTCTAGGTCTGAAGAAGACCTTCAACTAACCATTGGTCGGGTTGAAACGTTGGCTTTTAATAAAATAGTTTTGCCACTATTTAGCCTATTTATGACCGTCACCTCGGACCATGAGAAATTTATCTTTTCTGATGAATTATTTTAATCGAGAATTTGACACAACTGAATCCTTGTTGCAAAATTTAATTGATTAGAAGCTCTAATTAATTTAGAGGAAATAATTTATAAAGCCTTCATCAATTAACTCAACAAATTGAATTAAAGAAATAGAAAAATTAATACAATTATTTTTTTAGAACAAAAAAAGTTGTATACGAATGACTGTCATTTTAAATTTGAATTTGTAACATTGTAAAGGAAATAAACATCAAATTATTATATATTTTTTAATGCATTTTACTTTAGTGTGGTCTACTTGTAATTATTATAACTTTTTAGTTCTAAAACTAACAAACCTGCAACTACTGAACTAGAAAATGAAATCGTTGAAGGATCTTTGTCCGAGTTGCCTCATCCTCGGTCAAATGTTGAAAGTATCGCTGAAGATGAAGAAGCAACCTTTAAACCACCTGTGAGTTATTAGAATACTTGAGTTTATTACTTTATAATGGGACTTTGAGATAACCTTAGCAGAGGGAAAACATTATATAAGGGTGTTTCAGGGTTAAGTGGCCAAACTGCAAAAATGAACTACTGACCTCATAACAAGAAACCAATTTCCTCTGAAGTTATGTTCGCAAACGCTTAGTTTAGGAGATATTCACACCTAAAGATTTATATTATATGAAATAAATGAGTGATTTACTTGAGCATTAAGGCAGGCTCGGCATCTTTCTTCAACAGCAGCAGTGGCAGAGTGGCACTGGATATGTGTTATTGTTTCAGAAGATTCAATTATCCTTCTTCGTAAGGAATTAAGGTCATTGACTGGACTTGCATAGACTTTTTATTTAATGTCACCCCATACAAAAAAATCCAGTGGTGTCAGGTCTGGAGAGCGTGCTGGCCAAGCCACTGATCCTGCACGGCCAAATTTATTGATTGGGATATGGGATATGATTCAGCAAGTCCGGTCAGTGACCTTAATTCCTTACGAGGAAGAATAATTGAATCTTGTGAAATAATAACACATATCCAGTGCCGTTCTGCCACTGCTGCTGTTGAAGTAAGATGCTGAGCCTGATTTAATTCTCAAGAAAATCACTTTGAACAACATTTAATATCAATGTTAATGTTTGCATTTAATTAATAAAATAGTTATAACAAATAAATAGATTTTATTTATTTTATATAAATATAACAAATAGTTCATAACAACGGAAATCTTTAGGTGTTAATATCTCCTAAACAAAGCGTTTGCGGACATACCTTCATAGGAAATTTTTTTACTACCTATTGAATACATTACTATTTTGTTTATTTTTTCTCTCTGTTTTATTTATATATACAGTTTATTTCTCTCTTTTATTTTATTTTTAATTACCTATTATTATATAAATATTTAATTTAATGTATGGCCGTGTAATGTATAGTGTCATGTTTTATTTATTTTGTATTTATAATTTGTCCTAAAAGTTTATTAGTCTCAGTATAATACAATTATATTTCATTTCATTTACACAGGCCAACATCTAATGTGTTAAATTAAAAAAAAACTTTTCTGTTATGTTTAAACTTCCTTCTTATTTATAAGATTCATGACTTTTTATTGGTATATATTTGGAACGTTTAATTTCAATAAGTTAAAAAAAAATGACTTTGTCTGAATAACCATAAGGTTTGAGAAAGCTTGTTACTGTTGTTTTGTTTTTTTTCAATAAAAAGTTTGTTTTTTTTAATTTAAAGAAAAAAAGAAGATGAAAAGACTCAATCAAAGAATCCTCCATAAGAATCGATTCATTTAAACGAATCGAATTTCCCATCTCTAGTTATTATGCAGTAAAACCTTATTGTCTCAGCTCATATTGTGGTCACTTATGCATTATGGCTTGGCCCAAACTCATCAATTGTACTTTCTAGTGATCTCCTGTCTGGTTTCATTTGGCTGAAGCTGCTTATAATAAACGACACAGCTGACCCCACCAATGCAAAGTATAACCCTTTGATTGTGGGAGCTGATTGACTGTTTCTACCAGATGGTGTGCTCCGAAATCCTACCAGAAAAACAGATTTTTTTGGGGGAGGCTCCGGAACCTTTGGTGGTAAAAATAAAAAGCAGTTGGACGACCTTCCCTGTATTCCAACTTGCCCAGCCCTCCTGAATACAATTTGATATTAGCAGAATATTAATTATAAACAAGTAATATTTTTTTCATTATTTTCAATGTAAAGCTATATTTTGTTTTTGTAGGATGTGTCAAATGGTAAATACTCATGGAGGATTGATCTTAGATCAACCGAGAACCATTGGCCTGGGTGGTTTCAAGGTCTTTCCAAGTTGTTTCTTTCTACGAACGTTCAAAAACTCTTATTGCTGGCTAGCCTAGATCGGTTAGACACTGATTTAACTGTTGCTCACATGCAAGGTTAGTAATTTTATTATATTATTCTCGTTTAGTTCTCACATTTAATATACACAAATACTTAGATATAAAAAATACTGTACTTTTATATAAATTTAATAGTAAGTTCTCAAAAGGGCCCAGTAATCTCTGCTTAAAGGCTTTTATAGAGATGCAAGGTAACTGTGAAATTTCTGTTAGTGGACATTTCTCTATAGCAGAAAATTTTCAATACTTAATATAAGCAGAAAATTCAATCCAAATAACAGGATCTGCGTAGAAGGAAAATCATTCCTGAGACTAGAAAAAATCGGATACCTTAGTTCCACAATAACCTCAATGAATGGTCAACGGGCAGAAATAAATGGCGCAAACCTATCTTCTCCCTTTCAAAGTTATTGAATTCCCAAGAAATCTCAAATTAATGGTGTACTATGATAAAGCCAGTTCTAATATATGGCTGTGTGACCTGGACACTTACCAACATCCTAAAAAAAAATGTTGAAAGATTTAAGAGAAAAATCCTCTGCATGATAACCGGAGCGATCTGTGAGCAGAGTACTAACACATAGAGGAGAAAGACCAATATATATATATATATATATATTTATATATAAATGAATGTATGTCTGTCTGTCTGTTTGTCCTTAGTGCATTACTAAACCATTCAACCAATCGCCATGAAACTTTGGGAAGTTGTTCCGTACACTCCTGGGAAGGTTTCTGGCATAGTACTTTTGTCTTACGATAATTTTATATATGTAAAAAAAAAAAAATGTAAATGTTTTTCTGTTCGAAGCCGCAACAAAATGTGTCGCTATAAACTGTAGCACCAAAGCACGGCTTTACCGATTTTAATGAAACTTGGCTAAAGTCTTCCCCTTGAAACCCTTTAAATTTATGTGTATAACATGATTTCCCGAAAACAAGCTGAAAAATGTTATGATGAATTCAATATTCTATTTGCCGATAACTAAAAAAGTACACAATAATACCCATATTTATATCAAAGATTGATGAATTGCTGACAAAATAAAAAAAATTCATCGAAATCGGAAAGTTCGTTGCACAGTTATAGAGTTTTAAACATTTACTGCTTTCTCTTCAGAAAAGGCCGTTTCCTTTTGCTTCCTCACTACAGAAGGTCAGCAAGCATTTTTTTTTTTGATTAATCGAAAATTTTATAATTACTACAGTAATTGAAATTATCATTTGAAGAAGTAATATGATTCTTCTTATGTAGGTCAATACTGTTATACGTTTTTTCTTAATTTTTTAATATAGTTTTATAAGTTCAACTCAGACTCTTTCTGATGAATGACGGGGTATTCACTCAGATGATTATGAATGTTCAATTTGAATCATGAGAAAAATTAATCATTAGAATTAGTTCAAATTGAAGCCATTTTACAGACAAATTTGTTTCTCAACTTTTTAAAAATGACAGATGTCCTTTGCTACTAATCTACTCATATGTGCTTTCTATTTTCTTTCTTTTTCATTATGCCAGGCTAAGCCACAGCCGGGTAAAGCTAGTAATTGATAAAATCAACAAAGCTGCAATAGAGCTGCGTGCAGATAAATTGAAAGATATATCCCTAGACAGGCAGAGATGGAGCAGGCTTGTTAAGGCGGCTAAAGATTTACATGGTCAGTAAAGCCAACAGGAAAAAAAACTAGCATTGGGGACTTTTAAATAACAATGTTCTCTATAACAGAATGGAGACACTTGATTTTGATTAAACGATTGATGGAAGGACTTCGATTAAAAAGTTTCTACATTATATAAAACAGCTGGAAACAATAAGACCTTATTCTAGGAACTTAACCCTTTTCAGACCTCGGTGACCAAATAGAATAGCAATTTTTATTTATTACCACGGCGCTACAACTCGGTGACGAGTCTTGCCCTCCTCCACCAGCTTCCTCCAGTCATCTCTGTTCTGTGCGGCCGTCATCCAGCTCCTGACTCCCAGGACATCCCTTGAATCTCTTGCCAGACCTTTGTATTTGTATCTTAAGATTTGTGTTTTTTTAAATGTCACATTTTTTGTTAAATACGATACAATTACTAAAAAAATATTTTATTTAAGTAATTAAATATTGCTTCATAGTGTAAATAACTTACAGAAAATTAAATGTAATAATTAGTTTTGGTTGGAATAGCGATTAGCCTTCTGCTTTTATATCGGGGATTAGGTTATTTACACTCGTGAATTATTAAAACAAAACCCCGGCACTGGATATCGACTTTTGAGGGTGTTTAACTGTGATTGGGAATTCGGAGATCTTTTACCTTTTGTGACACTGAGTGAGAAGAACCAATGAGAACACATATATATATATATATAATGTGGGACTTAGTAAATACACTTTGAATGAATTGATTCACCTGGTTTATTCTTCAATTGTGAGGCCTATAGGACAACTAAATAAAATGACTATTCACTCCTGTCTAACAAAACAAATTTATTTTAACAACTGATAATGAATGAATGTATATAAGTGCACGGTCGGCTTGATATTCTTGGTCTTCAATGTCGTAAGCTCTCTTCCCAGATGACGTCTTCTCTTGTTCCTGTCCAGGCCTCAAGTTTGTCTTCCTCCTCTCTTCTGACAACCTCCTTTCTACCTGCCCCGGCCTAGGATGCCTTCTCTTCTCTCCAGCTTTTGCCTGCTGGGTCCTTTCGGTACCTCCCACCTTTTTTATCAATTATTAATCAATTTAAGACTTTTCAAAGAACAATTTGTCCACTGCACAATTGAGTACAATTCAGTGCAACCTCACATTCCTGTATATTATATATTCCTTCTCATTCGCTCACACAATGTCGTCTAAAGGAGTAAATACAGGGGGATGTCTACTACAATAGTAAACTAGATAAAATTTACTTCAAACGAAAGTAAAGTTTGTCATTGTTAAAACCATTTGAAGGGGACTATTGAGCGGACAAACTCATCAAAGTTCCGTTTAAAAAAGTCATAAATCACCTGTGATTTTTTTTTATCACTCTTCAACTGTACTACAGTTACCCCACTTTTAGAAAAAGTTCCTCTTTTTTTTTTTTTTTGGCTTTAAGACTTGTAAAAGCAAGTCCTATTTTGCCAGCAAAATATTTTGTTTGTCATAGTGAGATGAAATTACGGTTTTTAGACGGAAATTACACTGGATTTATATTAATTATTTACAGTTAGATGATAACTGAAAGTGACTTATATGGGACTTGGATATTAGATATTATATTATTAGATATTAGATATTATGGAAACTAGCAAGACTAACGGTTAAAAACTGAGATGAATTAGAATTGCAATTAACTAAGTGCCGACTTTTATTATATGACTGCTTTGATGCTATTCATGAACTTTAACAAGTCACGAGCGTTATCTTTGTTCATCGACCGAAGAAAGTTAACTCCATCATCCATAGTTTGCGACCCTAAACTAATTCTTCTTCGTTTTTCGAACCTTTTGCACTTGAAGGCAATGTGTCTTGGATCCTCCAAGCATTGGCATGTTGGGCATTGACTGCTCTCAGCTAGCCCCATTAGATGATATTTATTTGTTCTACCGTGGTTTATCCTAAGCCTGGTCAGCTTTACTAAGCTGGAGCGGTCGAGATGAGATTTAAGGGTCGCAAACCATGGAATCAGTGCTATTTTCTGCTGAACTGCATAATGATCCTTACCCTTCGAGGCACATTCCCAGTCGTAGAAATGCTGCCAGTCTTTCATTATTTTCCCCCTCACTACTCTTATCAAATCAAGTAAAGGGACCTTCGCATTTATTCGATGTAGTTGGTTTTGATTTGCCGTTTTATCTGCATTTCCTGATATTCCTACGTGTCCCGGCACCCACTGAAAAAAGTAATTGTTGCTGGAGTTATGTATCAGAGATATAATTTTAAAGGAAATGTGTGTCAGTGCTTTGGTATTTTGGTAGATTAATTTTAGGTGTTTACATGCCGTTGCGGAGTCTGTCAGAATAACTATTTTTTGGTTGATATATGTGTTTTCGCTGTATATTATGGCATTAAGAATGGCATATAGTTCGGAAAATACTGAAATCAACTGGAATTGATAGTGAAAATTTCTGGTTCTTTTGGGAATCATACACAGCTACAGTTCCTCAAGTTCCTCATTTAATTAGCTTGAAACTCATATTAATTAAGTTGAGGTTTATTTGGAAAAATTTTGAGATTCACCTGAAGTTGTGTAAAGAAATTATGTTATTTTCTATTCAGTCACATAAAAGTACCTATGTTTTCAGAAAAATGACTACAATAAACTATTGCAAAGCTTTTATTTCTTGTTCTATAACAGAGATCTGGGAGAAAAATACAGTTACATAACTTCTTTACATGAAAAATTGTTATACATTTTGGAAAATGATACAAGGGACTTTTAAGAGATCTAATACAGTCGCTGTATAAAGATATGCTGCTTATATATGGGTGTTGTAACTGTAGAAGCATAACGGTCATATTTGACCTCCTGAAGTGGGCGGGATGGCTGAATGGGCTAACGCATGTGCACTGCACCGCCGTTGCCCGGCAACCTGATACATAACACTTCGATAAAAAAAAATAGTCAGGAGTTCACGTCCCGATGCCCGGAGGAGTTTTTAAATCCCCGCCCACCCTCCTAAATCCCCGTATAGCCTTAGAGGCGAGGAAGGGGAGGACAAAAAAAAAAAAAAAAAAAAAAAATTTGACCTCCTGAAAGTCTCTTTTATCATTGACCTTACTAAATTTAATCACTGTTTTGTCAAAAAAAAAAGTTTCGTCTACTTAACGATAGTGTACTTAGAATTTAATTATCTTGAACAGTTTTTTTAGCAATTCCTTCTTATTCAATAAAAACCATGACTTCCTTACGAAAAACACATAATTGGTCTCAAATCCTTATCATTTCTGAATCGGCTCATGCATCAAATGAACTTGTTTTGCAAATGTCTAGAATCGTCCACCAGAGTTTGGACATAAAGAATTGAGACACTCTGTTTAGATGGAATCAACATATAGATGTCCAGGTAACTAGAAAGCAATAGCCAAAGATAAGAAGAGGTCAAGAAGGTTGGGTAAGGCGTCTGAGGATCTACTGGGTCTGTAAAGCCAACAGCAAAAATAAACGAAAGTATTTCAACTCGAATCTGTTAATTTTAAAAGAAGAAATTCGTGTGATTAATGTGAGTGTCTGTGAAAAACTTGGATTTCTCAAAATAGTAGCTTAATACAAAATTGGAAAAAGAATAATTTGTGGCATTTTAAAGAAATAATAATGTTTGATTTATAATTGTTTGGCTATTTGTCAACTCGCATTTAGTGGTTTAACTTTTTCTAATAACGATCCATCTATTGCATCCCAAACTCTTCAATCACACATCACATGTCTTGAAAAATGGTGTCAAAACTGGAGGGTTAAAATAAATTCCAGTAAATCTCATCAAATTACCTTCACTCTTTGTCGTAAACCTATGACTTCCTGTCCTACAGTATCCTTCAACAATAGCCGTCTTATCCCTGTCAAAAAAATCCGATACCTAGGACTCCACCTGGACAAACGACTCTCTTGGAACCCCCATACCAGATTGAAACGACTAGAAACCACCCGACGTTTTCGACTACTGTAGCACTTACTAGACAAACGCTCTAAGCTTTCAATCAATTACAAACGACTCATATATTTGACAATAATAAGACCTATTTGGACTTATGGAATTGAGCTTTGGGGCTCCACTAAACCATCAAATTCCTCTCGTATTCAATCCTTACAATCCAAAATCCTTCATAAAATCCTCAACGCTCCTTACTTTGTCACAAATAAAGTTGTCCATAAAGACCTTAATGTTCCATATGTTTCCGATTTGGCCCAATCCAGATACCTATCCTTCCATAACAAACTGCAGAACCATCGGAACCCTCTCGTTTCAAACCTTGCTTCCTCCTCGATCCCTGATAACCCTCCGAGGTGTCTGAAAAGAAGATGGCCTCGGGACCTTCTGATATAGAACTTTAATTTGAGTTATGCCAATGAGTAGTTTCTCTTCATGTTGTACATGTTATGTTACCAATGTCACATTTACTTGTTGTATTTTTCATGTAATACAGTTGTAAATTTCATTAAAATAAAAAAAACTTTTTCTGTAGTTGTTAGTGGATACACCTGATGTATTTTTTTTTTTTTTATTGTAACATAATCTGTTTTTATTTTCTTATTTATTTATATTGCTTCTTTAGGAAAATTTGAGGTGCATGCTTTTGAGCAAAGTCGAGGCCACTGTGGCCACGTCATCCACGAAGATATACCTGATGCAGTAGCTGAAGTTTTCTCTACTTATCTTGTTAGGAATAAATTCGCCCAACCCAAGAGTAACTTTGAAGTAGGGTAAGTTTAAAAAAACAAAATATAAATGCTACTTATTAGAAATTATTAAATCAAAAAACGTACATTCCTATAAATATAAATATGTATTTACTATAATTGTCAGTTGGTGGTTTACAATAGTGAATAATTGAAGAGAAGGATGGTTGAGGTGATAAGTCAAAATAAAATGGTAAAAATAAATAAATGTATTTACTTTTACATTTGCCGATGTTTCGGCCCGAAGTTCAGGCCTTCATCAGGGCTGCTGTATCAAAAAGCAAAGACAGACCATTTTTTTTTTTCTTTAAAAATTAACGACTTCAACTTTTTCCTAAACATTAACGAAATAACCTCTTTTGACCATACATCAGTGAATTGATATAGCTATGTATTTCAGATTTCTATTTACCGTTGGCTCTCACTAATCTGAATCTTTGAACTGAATCTGAAGTGTTCTATAAACTGAACAAACTTTAAATTATGTTGTAGGGATGGTTGACCGTGATATAATATGAGGAGTTGGTTGGGGGTGCGATCAAATGAATACTAAATTGTTAAAACATTATTTTATTTGTTATGCCGTTGTTGCAAACCACTTTGTAGGTCTTCATCAGGGCTAGTAAGTAGAGCTAAAAAGTAGTTTGTAGCCCTAATGAAGACCTACAAAGTATTTTATTTGTTATGCTGACGTTTCAACCCACTTTGTAGGTCTTCATCAGGGCTAGTAAGTAGAGCTAAAAAGTAGTTTGTAGCCCTAATGAAGACCTACAAAGTGGGTTGAAACGTCAGCATAACAAATAAAATACTATTTTAACAATTTAGTATTTATTTGACCGCACCTCTCGACCAACTCCTTATAATAAGCTTTAAATTAATTTTAATATTTATGAAAATTTAAAATATATCAACTTATATTTCTTGTAAATTTGTGTACTCTAAACCCTTTATATTTTGTTTGATTAAAAATGTACAGATTCGTTTGGAGATCTTGAAAAAGATTCTAATAATCTGAATTAAAAAAAAAGATAATAATAATTAACTAAATTTTAAGAATCGTAATTTGTATAAGATTAAATTTAATAATATAATGATTTTGGATATAAACAGCTATAAAAAGAGCGAGTATACAATGTTATTTATTTACGAAGATAATTCTCTGGAAAGAAAATTAGTTACGAAGAGTTATCAATATTAAGGTTATATTGTCAACAAGTGCATTATAGTTTATGCAAATTCATTTTACTTATTCTGTGAACTCATCAAGGATAATTTTTGTAAACTACAAGGCTTTCGGTAAGGATTGTAATTAGAAATATTAATTTAATTTGAAAAGGAAACTTTATTTGCACATAACTCAAAAAGTACACAATTTATGGTTTAATTTATAAAGGTATAGGTTATGGTTTAATGTAACCAAAGGCAATTTTCAGCATTTCATCCTCTTTGTAATGAGGTATTATTCAAAATTGTATTTTGATGTAACACCGAGTTAGAGAGTGGGAAAGGTAAAAAGGTAGCGCTAAAGAACTAAATAATAATGATTATTTTGAACATTTGGATTAAAATATTTCAAAATTTAAATACCATGGAGAATTCAGAAACCCATTCGCAGAAGTAAATATAGACATTTATTTTAACTATAAGTGTTTCCATTCTACTTTCTGTTGCACTTGAATAAATAGTTTATATACTATTATAACGAATGAATGAATGAAAAAATATTTTATTATTCTGGGACTGTTGTCCCTTTAGAACAAATTATAAATACAGATTGTATGTCTGTGTGGTTACAATTAGATTATATATTTACAATAAGAGTTGACTAAAGATAAAAGTACTGAAAAAGAGAAAGAAAAGAACAAGAAAATTGTACATATATATGAGAAACTAAAATAACCTAAATAAATTGAGGTAGTCTCTGGGGGTGCTTAGATATTTCTCTTAAGTATATTTCGCAATCAGTCGGATCGAAAAAGGAGTAGATGTTTAAAGATGAGAGAGGTTTGAAAGAGAAAACTGATTGAGCGTGTCGAATATCAGCAGGGATGGAATTCCAGAGGGATGCGGCTTGTATTGCAAAGGATTTGTCAAACGCAGCAGTTTGGTGAGAAGGAGAAGGATAGAGGTCGGAAGTACGAGATCTAGTGGGACGGGATTGGATGGAGTATTTGAATTGTAAGCTGTGAAGAATATAGGAGGGTTGATGAGTTCTAATGATTTGGTACAAAAAGGTGGCTAGGAAGTACTGATGGCGATAGGATGGGTAGAGCCACCTCAACTCAGTGTAATACTGGGTAATATGCGTATCCCTTGAGATTCCGAAAACAAATCGTAATGCGCAATTCATTAGGCGTTTTAAGTTTGGCCTCGGAATCTCCCGAGAGTCCACCCTACACCATACAGCCATAGTCGAAGTGGGGGAAAACAAGGGAGGAAACTAGGAGTTGACGGGACTTATATGGAAAGAGATATCGTAGACGATTGAACTGTTTTAGGGTGGAGATAGTGGGATGGGAAATTTGGGAGATGTGTGATTTCCAGGATAGGGTTTGACCAAAAGTAACACCTAGGTTTTTAATGGTGGTGTGGAATAAGATAGGTGAGTTGTTCAGGAGGAGATTGGGAGATACCGGGTAGGATTTGAGGAGTGAGGGGTCGTAATTGTAAATAATAATTGTAAATGTATTTACTTTGTGAACATAGAACAAAAAAAAAATTTATATTTCATATTATTAATCCTGCCTCGTCGATGTTTTCATTTCTATTGTGTGGTCTTAAGCTGACAGCATACATTTTTTTATCTCTTATGAAAATACATCGGAAAGAGAGTAACCTAATCATTGATGAATTCTTCATCCTCCTACTTTAAAATATTTTTAGCAATTTGTTTGGGATATACATATATAAATGATGTTAATGTACTTATTTTGATTTATTACACTTTTTTTCAGGTCTATGCCCTGCTGTTAAAAACAAATTCTTATTCATCACTCATCTGTGCTCATCATTACTGTAAATTAATTTTATTTATTTGATTAAAACAAGCAAAGAAATTTACATACTATAATATATTTATTATCCTGATAAATTTCCGTCTCGAAAACATGTGAAGTATTAGAAATTGTGATTTTAGTTTTATATTTATGTCAATAACAAATACATAATGCAATAGTTGTACTCAATTTTTAACTTTAAGAATAATAATTATTATTATTTTGTTAATTGAGCATTCAGAGATTGGATTGTTGACCTATATTAATAATTATTTTTATATTTTATTTATATATTATATAAATATAATATAACAATAATATATAGTATATTATTAGTATAGAGTTAATGTAGTTTAATGGCATGAGTATAAAGTATACATTTTTTTAAATTTTAATTATAAGATCAACTAGAGAAAATCATTTTCGAGTAAATATCATTAAAAAAAATTACAGTTTTATTTTATAATATATAAAAATGTTAAAGAAAAATTACATGTTCTCTTGTCTGTTGTTTATATGAATAGCTTCATAAATAAAGAGACTCCTTATAAAAAAAACAATTTTCAGGATATCCAAATATACTAAAAAATTTAAAATTGAGCTATTCTAAAAATTTATATATTATTGAAATGCTTATTATACAGTTAGTAAGTTTTATTATAGAGCACATTATCACTAATATCTATAAACTTTAATTGCAGTTAATGGAATGAATGAAACTGTTTGTTTACGAAATGAGCATTTAAGTAATTTTGTTTAAAAAGAATCATCTTAATATTGTTCAGTTTTATATTTTTGATAGTAACATATATATATATATTTGTGTGTGTATAAGTTTATATGTATCTATAGGGGGTGTGAATAAATTCCCACTGTTATTTGATAAAAACTAAAATTTTATTTTAAAAACAATCAGAGGCAGGTCATTCAAAGTATTGTCCATTGTTAACCGCTAATTTCTCCCATTTTTTAGTTTTTTCATAAGAATGGAATCACTGCTCGGCTAGGCCGTGATTCAGAGATCGGAACAAGTTTGTTTTTCTTTTTGGGGCACCTGAACGATCATAAGCTTCAGTTTTCTTTTTGAAAAAATCTTATAATGTAATTTTCTGTGTTTGAAGAGATATGAACAACGTTGTATACACTTTGAGGATTTAAAATAGACTGATAATCTGATAAAATAGACGGAGTACAGAGGATTACCTTGGTTTCATTATTGTCAGATGCACGCAGAAAAACTAAAATTCTCTAGATAACAAATAGTGGAAGCTTATTCACACATCCAATAGTTTAGTAAAGCCAAGTTGGTTAGTTGGTCATCTCATAAAAAAAAAATGTTAACATTGTTTTAGAATGTAAGGAGCTAATTTTTTCATTCTCTCTCTATGCACTGGAAGTATTTTCTTATTAACACAATTTGAATTTGAATCTACTTTGCTGTGAGGAAAAACCAAAATGAGTTCATTTCACTAAATTCTGATGTAACGGTAGTTGGAAATACAAGAAATGTTATCAATTTAATTTTGCTCAACAACGATTTAGTCCTTTTGTTTAAGAAGCCATTCATAGATCATCTAGAATCTTAAACCCCAGTGAAATATCTTCTTATTGTATACAAAATGAAAATCGAGCCAAGAATGTTTTATTTATTTTTATTGTTATAATTATTATTTATTATTGTTTAGTATTTTGAGTAAGGTCGTTTTATTTGGGATATTATTATTAACCTTCCTCTACTTGAATTGTAATAAATTGTACAACAAATATTTTTTATTTAATATTTGTGTTTTTTTTTCTATTGAGAAATATTTTTCTTAAATTATAATTTAATTTTTTAAATTAAAAAATGTCTTTAAAAAAATTATATATTTATTTATTATATCTATTCTTAACAGAAATATTAAATATAATGATTTTCATTTCTCTGTATTAGTTCGTTAGAATTAACCTAAATATAATTATAACAAAAAAAAACATGAAATACCACATAGGTAAAGGGTATAATTGCATTAAAAAAAAAAAATTGAGCTAAATATAATAACTGACATTTATATTGAATTCATCTAAAAGTTATTTGAAATTTATATGCAGTGACATATTCTTTTTTAACCCTTTAGCGATGATGAGCAGGAAGGATGAAGCGTCCTTGAGAACGGAATAATTTTCATCACTTCTACTGACCTCTTGAATCACCTCCTTGAACAACCGTTGAACAAAAAACAGTGCTTTCCCTAAATAGTACTGAACCCAATTTAAAAAAATGTACAACTTTTATGGGTTGTAGTGGTACAGATTTCTACTGACCTCTTGTACTTTTTTATTTATTAAGGTCTACTGCCTAATGGCAAGGCTGCAAGATGGTTTTAAGCAGAGTTGATCACTGAGCACCCCGTCATTTTACAAGAATGAGTCCTACTGGCTCGTGAATCATATGTGGATCCTCCCAGAATACTGGATCTCGCTATTTCTTACAGAGCATAGGGGCTTTCATGCCAAGCTCCATGGCTTTAGGAAAGACATCGATCCCCTATGCCCTAGCTGTGGGATCCCGGAGACTGTTGAGCAAATTATCATAAGGAGGGAGACCGGTCTCTATGATCTCAGCGAGAATGATTTCCCTCAGCTAGTAACGGAAGAAAACTACCCGTACTACAAAGAATTTGTTTACCGGTAGAAAGATGCAATCGGACCCACATACTTCAATCTCACCAAAAGAGGACCCGCGCCTGGGAGGGCGCTGAAACAAGGAGGAGCGAAATAAGGCCATAACCAACAGATTAAAATATCGAAATCGATCTCATCGCAGAAGCAGGCAGTTATGCTGTGAAGTATAACAACCCAGTTCTGCAAATCCCGTCACAGCAGGATTCAAATAAATAAATAAAATATATAAGGCCGCCGTTGTCCAAGGGTTGAAAACTCCTACAATAACCAAATAATGTATCTCAATATAGAAGAAATCCGATAAAATAATTTGATATTGAGGAGGAGTGAGTAAGTGACACTTGTCATTTTTAAATATGATGAAAATAATTTTCAACTATTAAAGGAGCATTAGAAAAATTGAAATAATTCAGTAACTCCTTCTGTTTCTAGGGGCTCGTATTTAATACATAGTATACTTAAATTTTTCTTTTTCACTATATTATTCATTGCTGATATTTTTATTGAATTTCCTCTTTCATAATAAGCAAATATCTTTATTGCTGTATAATTTATGCAAATAATAGTAGAATTTTCTAATAGATGAAGTAAGTTTAGTTTATTGATTGCTCGATTAACTTGCGTACATTTGGTCAAAAACAAAATGGATAATAATCATTGAGCAGCCTACGAAAATTGTAGGCTTGTATTGTTTATGTCAGGGGTGACCATCTCCTCCAAGGTCGATGGCGTATGAACCTCCCTCCCACTACCTCCCAAGATATTTTATTGCTCTTCTTTTCTTAAAAACTGCAAGCGAAAGTAGAATTTTAAAAATCATAGGTTATATACAAATACAATTTCAGTGGTCTTTTCTATTCTTTCCTTTTGTCCCCTTGTTTGGAACTTTTCATTTCGAAAATTCAGAACCCTGTTGAAACCATGCGCCATTAAACCCCCTTCTGACCACCCCTTGTTTATGTAATTCAACTGTATATCTTAACATGTGTTCACTCAGTTCAGAATCGATTTAAAAAAATATTCTTTAATCAGATAATCAGGTATTTGAATCTTAAACAATCATAAATTGATTCATATTGAAAGTATAAATAAGTAAAAAAAAAAATGATAAATGTGAATAATGTAAGATTAATTAAAAAAATATATGTAAAACAATGGAAGAAACTAAATCTTGAAAAATTAATTTTTAGTGATAGAATTATGATATATTTGTTACACCTTTAAATCTATACATTGGTGATTGTTTATAATATTAAAACATGTTTTATCCATAAATATGAGTTTAAATATGAAACCAGCTCAATCAATTAGAATACCATACTCCAGCTCAATATAATCTGCAAACGTAGTGGCCTGGGTCAAAACTAGACTTACTCTGGGAAATTATGAGAGAAATGATTTTTTAGCTTATTAAAAAATAATTATTTCTGTTTTTTTGTTGTTTTGCTCCTAATTTAGTCAAAAAAAGGAGTTAATGTTTTAATGTAATCATTCTTGTTTGTAAATAGATTGTATTACTTAAAATATTGTTATAAAATTTTGACTTTGAACTAGGAGAAGGGAAAGAAAGTAGAAAGATGGGGCAGCAAAATTAAGGTTGTCCCTCCTGGCAAAAATTCTAATACTGCCTCTGGTTGTGGAAGATGAGGTTTCTTAGATGGCTTGATGAAAGTGTTGCCCCCTTAACATTCTCAAGTCTAGTAGCACTGGTTCGAATCCAGCCTGGACAGGCCAAACAAAATTTATTTCTTGGTCAATCCATGAAATTCCTAGCGAATCTATGGAGGGGGAGCTTTCGGGCCATAGCCGACCTCGCCCTCAAAATGGAAAAATAACAATTTTTACTTTCACTTATGTATACATGTAATATGTACTAAGGGTAAGTATTGCGAACCTGAACATTTTTGAATCTGAGTTTTCAACGGAAATACACGTTTTGGGGTATCCTGAGTCCATATAAGCCAGTCCTGAAAAATGGTCTGTGTGTGTGTATGTTAGAAGTCAAGATCAAAAACGAAAAGTCGTACAAAAGTGAAATTGCATATTTAAGGTTTTTATATGCTAGGGATGTTACAATTGTTTCGTCAAAATCGGCTAACCGGAAGTTAAACTTTATATAATGGACTACACACGTTTTTACGATTTTCTCGAAAACGGCCTTAACGATTTTGATTAAATTCATCATATCAGTGTAAAATTAAGCAGTTTTAGATAAAATGTAATTTTTATTCTGATTGATGTTCTCTAACAGGGCTTAAATGGTCAATTTTCAATATTAGCTTCTACTAAAGTACCTTGAATTTATTTTATTTGAAAAATTGACCATTTCACATTAATCTTTAATATAAAATATGGCTAAATATAAAAGAATTTGATAATTAATTAAAGAGAAATAAGAGATAACGGAGAATAGTGTAATTTAGGTACCAAAGGAATACGAGCGCACCGAAGTTCGCCCGAAAGATTATAATACGCTTCCATAACATGAGCTTAATATAATACAGACTCCGATGATATTATATAAATATACATATGTGGTTTTCATAAATGGTATTCTTGGTATTATTTAATATTTAATTATATAGATTACACCGATATAAATATTAAAATTTGCATATATGAGGGTACTTATACAAATAAAAAGACCCATAATTTAATATAAATAAATATAGCGTATATAATTTTGACTTTCACTTCTTCTTTTTTGAAAATATCTTTTTCTGCTAAGAGGATATTAAGTGGAAGTTGTGTGATGCGCGCACCGCCCAGATGATTTTTTTTAATGAAATCTATTATCTGCTACCAGGCAATGACGTCAACTCCTCTAAATTAAAAAAAACACCTGCCAAGTAATGTCAGTATAGCTTCCTCATCGTTTTCATTGGCTAAAGTATATCTATATTACAAGGTATACAATTTTTCGTATGAGAATAAAATCCCTGGAAGAAGCCAATTCGGACCCTTCAACATTCGCTGGTTTGATACCCAGGAATATCGTTTATCAACTAATATTAAAATGCGAAAGAGTGCCGTATTTGAAGATTCCATAATTGATGATTATTAATTTTTTTTTAAAATTCCAATGCATACTGAACATGCATATCACTATTGTTAGTGCAAAAATATATAAATTGATTGTTTTAAAAGAGAGCATAAACCTAATTATTTCTTTATACTTTATTAGTATAATTTCATATTATATATATATATATATATATATATATATATATATTTTATTCCTGTTAGACGATTTTGACGATAAAGTTGCTGCAACATCCCTAGCATATAAAAACGTTAAATATGCATTTTCTTTTTCTTACGACTTCTCGTTTTTGAGCTAGATTGGTAATACACACACAGACCATTTTGCGATACTTGGTTATTTGAACTCAGGGGACCTCAAAACATGTATTTCCGTTGAAAACTGAGATTCGAAAATTTTCACGATCGCAATACTTATCCTTACTATTTATTACATATATAGGTAACTGAAAGTAAAAAGCAATAGACAGAATTCAATAAAATTGACCCTAGATTATTTTTTCACAAATAGGTACCTTTTATCCAAAATAAGTTGCAGAATACGATCTGCTGAAGCCATTCACGAAGTATCAGATGTTAATAATTTGATAAAAAGTGGTCTGTACAAAGGACTATGAGTATGCACATATTTTTAAAATGTATTTGGTTATTGATACACAGGAAATATAATTCAAAACAGTTCTTAACAGATGAATCATCAGGAGTTTCCACATGGCTGAAATTATGATTGAAACATATAAAAGGACATTCTTAACAAATAGCAACTAATAAAGATTTTCTAGGCAGTTGTAAAATGTTAAGAAACAAGGTTATCTCTCAGGTGGAAACAATACGATTCTCAGAAACTAAATATCTTCTTTTGTGATTTATTTGTTTGATGGTCAACATCAACATTGATGTTATGTGTTATCCGTTTATGTAAATTTGATATCTTTGTATTTCGTAATCTACTAAACAATAAAAACATATATGAACAGCACAGCCTCCACCGAGGTTGTATTTTTCTTCATATTTATTTGGAAAATAGATTAAAATTTTGTTACTGCTTACTCATTTATAATTTAATGTTTTTTTAATTTGACGCTACAACCCGGTTACAGATCTTGTTCTCCTCCAATCGGTCATGGTCTTGCGTCGACGCCATCCAGTTCCTAACTCTTAGCATGCATCCTGCTTCTCCAGCCACACCATCCGACCACCTCAGCCTTGGTCTTCCTCTTATCCTTGTTCCATGGATTGGCTGTATAAGCAATATTTTAGGCATTTCTCCATCTGCCATCTTTATACAAAATGGCCGCAAGCGTATTAACTTCATTGCTTTCACAAGATCAGCTTCCTCTAAAACATTGTATAGGTCCTGATTCATACACCTGCCTGCTTCCACTTCTTCAAAAACACGGTGGAGAACTTTTCTTTCAAAAATAAGGAGTCCCTTTTCAGTTCGAAGTTATTCAGCACTCCGATGCATAAAGAAGTACGGGACCCACCAATATATAAATAACCTATTAAGATTTTACTAGTAGGCCCGTGCGAAAAATTTGCACAGCATATTGTTATCAAATGCCAGATTAATAATAAAATAAAATAATGCGACCTATCAAAAGATAAAGAAATGAAATGTTACTTTATCGATAAATATAATCGACAAAGAAAACAAAAATTAATTTAAATCTTCATTTTTGTTTGGAACCAACATGTTTACAAATTTCAGTAAGCTTTATCTTTGCTAAAAATAGTCCGATTTCGATGATTTTTTTTTTCCTTTTGTAGGGAATTTAGTAATCTTTTATATAATCACTGGCATAACCAAGTGTGTAATTGTTTAGTTATTCGCAAATAAAGTTTGTTTTCTTTTATAACATTTTTGCCTGAATTTTCGGGGTGATTGGACTATTTTGTCCACCTGAAGGAGAAGGAAGCCTTCGAAATTGGTGGCTCAATCTTGAGATTTGGTGAAAAATTGACGATGATATGGCTTGCCGATCAAAAATACCATCGATAAATTATATAAACGTCTCCTCTCTCGATCATAGAGACCTCTAGTCGACGAAATGAGACATGTATTCAATGACAGTACTACAATTAATGTAAGGTTGTGTGGATGCGAACCCTATGCCTTGCGTTATCTCGAAAATAGTACGTTTTTGGGCTTAAAAACGCAGGATCCGATAGTTCCGGAGGAACTATCCGGGTCTTGCTGTACGCATCAAAATCTTCTAGATCCAATTTGTCCCGTATCGATCTACAGACCTACCACTGTTCAGGTATTGAAGCCTAGCAAAATGTTTGTATCGACTTTATTTATTTTAGAAAGAAAAACAAAAGTGGAGAATAAGATTCGCTAACCCTCCGTGAAATTCTGAATCCAACGGTATCCCATTCATGGTATTTGAGCATGACAGGAGCTTATATTTGGTACAAAACCGATTTCGAGCCTTACTGTAATAATATATGTACGGATACGGATATGTACGGATTGTTAGTGCCCTTTTTTAGGCGGGAAATCGTATATACCCTTTCGCTTCGTCGGGGGACTAGGTTATTTACACTCGTGAATATTTAAACAAAACCCCGGCACTGGATATAGACATTTTGAGGGTGTTTAACTGTTGTTGGAAATTCGGGAACCTAATACTTTTGTGACACTGAATGACAAGAAACAATAAGTATATATATATACAATGTGGGACTTAGTAAACACACTTTGAATGAATTGACTCACCTGTTTTTTTATTCTTCAATTGTGAGACATATAGGACAACTAAATAAATAAATGACTTTTCACTCCTTTATAACAAAATAATTTATTTATATAACTGTAATAAATTTACTCTATTAAAGTGTTATAACTACAGGCTTAATCTCGTTGATCTTCAGTATAGTAGACTTCTCTTCTCAAGTAATCTTCTTCCTTAATGTCCCAGCCTCAAGTGCCTTCTCTTCTCTCCAGCGTCCTTCTCCAGCTGTTGCTACCTGCTCCGTCCTATCGCAGCCTTCTATCTTCATCGATTGTTTATCGATATGAGACTTTTCAATGAATAATTTGTCCACTGCACAATTGAGAACAGTTCATCGTGTAACCTCACATTCCTATATATTCCTTCTCATTCCCTTGCACAATGTCACATAAAGGAGTAAATACAGGAGGCTATCTACTGCAAATGTCTAACAGAGATGGAACTTGGTTTGTCTGGAAAGTATCCGCCTGCTTAACCCAAAGTTACATTTGTTGGCAGCTATTATCCTTCTTCTTATCTCTATATCGGAGTTATTATCTTGAGTTACCACAGATTCCAGTTAAGTAAACTTTGAGACACAAAGCATCAGTCACAGCCTGGAGAGAGCGTTACACAATAGGGGTGGGAGAGAAATCGGCAAACGTTTGAAAAGAAGAACAGTTCTTGATCACAAACGAATGAACTGTTCTTCCAAACGGATAACAACAGTTTTTTTTTTTTAGTTCACCCGTTTGCCACTAGTCGAGTTGCTGTTTGATCTGTTTTTCGTTTCGTTTTTTCCAAACGAAATAGAAGCTCTTTCTGTTTTCCAACTAACCTATCAGTTCATAATGAAAATAACCCAACAGTTTTGTTTATAAGACACGTTTCAACTGTTATGTTTAGGTATGTAATCTTAAATACGTGATATCAGTTTCATAGGACTTTTCGTCTTTGAACTAGACTGCTAACATACAAACACACAGACCATTTTTCGGGATTAGGTCATTTCGACTCAGAGTACCTCAAAATGTGAATTTCCATTGAAAACTCAGATTCAAAAATTTTCTCAATCGCAATACTTACCCTTACTACATATTACATTCATACGTAAGTGAAAGTAAAAAAAAAAACAATCTAAAAGCTTACACTTTTTTTTTTTTATGTGGAGCACACTCTATAAATGACTCTACATTCTTAAACTTGGACCATAATTTAGAGATCTGACAATTAATATCTACAACCTATCTCAATACAATATAATAACGAAAAACAAATGGCGGTCGTTCTAAACATATTGACGAATTAGGTTGTCGAATTTAAATAAAAACGAAATTTATAAATTGTGTTGCTTTAATAAAGTAAAAAATATTACAAAATTAATAATACAACATAATAACACTCTTCTCTTCAAGTTTCCATTTCGATTTTCTGTTGTTGCGGATGTTTCGAATCTAATGGTTGCAATTCCTGAGGTTCTTTTGCTCTTTCTTCATATATTTCTAAACCATACGAATACCTCCAAACACCAATATCTGCCAGAGTGGCCAAAAATATGAAGACTGAAAAGAAATTGTTATTAATATTTATTTATTGTTTAATTTTAGTATATAAGGCTTTTCCGTAAGTAGAAGGCAATCTTTATAGAAGTCATAACAGATTTGAAGAGCTACAAAAAGGTTCATATTAAGAAAATATCAATTTTCATCAAAAAATTCAAGTTTTATGTTTTTTATAAGTGTGTCATGTTTTTTGTTGAATAGGGACTGGATAAATAAAGAAACATTTAATTTAAATAATTAAAAATTTCCTCAATATAAACTAGTTAAAATTTAATTCAAACGAAAAAGGAGTTTGTCGTTGTTAAAAGGACTTTTGAGCGACTAAACTAAGCTAAATTTTTTTTTTTTTTTTAATCATAATTTATTCTCAATCATTATCCAACTATACTACACATACCCCACTTTTAGAAATGATTAATTAATAATATTAAACTTTATCGTTTAATAAGATGAACGATTGTTCTTGTTTATTAGAAAAATTTGAGATTCACCTCAAGTGTTGTAAAAAAATTAAGGAATTGATTCGTATTTGTAAGTGATAAACTAAGTCTTGCTTATCCTAATATTTACGTCTTCAAGAAAATAATTGAAGCAGTCATCAAGTTACTTTATTTTAAGTGGGCGTGGTGGCCGAATGGGCTAATGCGTGTGCACAGCACCGACATTGCTCGGCAAATTGATCAAGACAAATTTATAAAAAAAAAACGCTGCAAATTATTCCACAATGGTTTATTCTCTCACACATAGTCTCAGAGTATCTCTCTAACAGTCAAGAGCTTAACTAGTGCTTCTCCCTATCTTATATGATTTAAACAGTGACTTGAAGACTTTTTCGCTATTTTTTTTCACAATAACTTTGTTTCGTAATATCACATTAATATTATAATTCTGCTATTTATAGTGATATTAGTTATATAGTGGAAAAAGAAAAAAAAAGGACGTGATAGAAGCAGCTGAGTTGGAGTAGTGGGGATAGCTAGCATCAGCCTAATCCTACCAGCCTTCACCCAAACAAACGGGTGCCTTTGTTGTTGTTGTTATTACTTTCGTTTTCTCTCATTTTAAAGCAATTGTGACATATATTTATCTATTTAATTTTTTCAAAATGGTTAATTGCAAACTATGCGGAAAAACGGCAAGTAGAGAAGACAAGACTAAATTGGCTTGTGTCACATGTCAAAACATCTTTCATGCTAAATGCACGAAAATCGATTTGACAGACTCAGAAGGCCTAAAAGAAGCCAGTAAAAAATGGAAGTGCACCGATTGTGAAACAGGGTCGCGTACATTGCCAGCCACTGAGCCTAATACTATGATAGACCTACTGAGGACTCTGGCCGAGGAAGTAAGGGAATTGAAGTCCAAGCTTCAGGGTTTAGACGAACTAAAGGAAATAAAAGAAACCCTCCAGAAGCATTTGGAACTATCTTTCGAGAATATGGAGCGATTGTTAAAAATTGAAACACTCCTGGAAGAGCAAAAAACCCATACTGAAAAATTAACCAAGGAAAATAACATATTAAAATCAAAAATATCTGAGCTGGAAAGCCGCCTGAATTTCACAGAACAGTTTCAACTGAAAAACACAATTGAAATCAGAGGAATTCCGGAGAAGGCCGGAGAAACCGTAACTGACACGATTCTTTGCGTCGGAGCGAGTCTGGGCGTCAAGTTGAGTCCGGACGATCTTGATCACGCCGTGAGACTAAGACCCAAGCAAGAAGGGACTCCAGGCCCAATTATAGTCAGATTTGTCAGATAAGCGGTGAGAGATGAGCTGGTGCGGCAACGAAGAGCGAAGAGAGATTTCTCTACGCGCCATCTAGGCTGGGGAGAGAACGACTCGCACAGCGTCTACGTGAGTGAAGCCATGACGCCCACAAATAAATACCTTTATTGGTTAGCCAGGCAGAAGAGGTTGACAGCAAAAATAAGATACGTCTGGTTCAGTGGGGGTAAAATTCGTTGCAGACAATCAGAAGGAGGTCCAGTGGTAATTATAGAAAAACCAAGTGATCTGGACGTTTTCAGCTGAACTCTGTATATAAGTTACCTTCAGCTTGCAATTAATTTACCTTCTCTCGCTAGAAATATATTTATTATATTTTTTTCATTTCCAGCTTTCTTTATTTTTTTATAAATGTAGCTTCTCTTGTTTTTTTTTATTTTTGTATCAATTTTTACTCATCAGAAACATTATTATTTTAATTTTAAGCTTCTTTTATTTTTATATAAATTATTTAGAACTTTATTCGATTCCTTGCCAATTTTTATCAATTTATCTAGACCAAGGAGAAATTTATATTTTCTTATGTTATACATTAATTTTAACTGAATATTTATTTCGAAACACCGAAAATTTATTTTTTTTCATCTCAAAGTTTATTTTATGTAAGCATTGTTTTTTTATATTTATAAACTTGACATTATGCTTAAAAAAATGCTATATCCTATCCTCCATCCTTGATCATTTTTTTTTTTTTTTTTCCAAAATCCTACTTCCCAACTCTCCAGTCATGACTAATATCCTGAATTCCTGTCACATCAATGCAAAATCCCTTACTGCACACTAGAATGAATTTCAGGAACATTTCCTTGATAATTTTTACCACATAATAGCAATATCCGAAACCTAGTTAAAACCTTTTATCCCTTACTCCAGATTACCTACCCAATTATTCCTTCCTACTATCGTAATAGTATAGAAAAGTAAAATTGTAAATAGTTACTACTGTAAATATGTATATAAATTATTAGAGCGTTCTTCATTATTTTTGTTTCATGTTTATTTTCAATTTTTTGTTTTTTATTTTTAACTGATCTAAATTAGTAAGCAACTTATAATTTTTTCTATTATTTTTTTTAATTTTGACTATTTAATTACTGTATATTTTTGTTTATGTATCTCTAAGGCTCCTTAGCCCATATTATTGTCTTTTTATATTATTCTAAAGGGACTCGTCCCAGAATAAATAAAGCATTATTATTATTATTATTTCCAAACAACTATACATCTGAAGTAACATTACCTTCTTAGTTACAATGAAAAGTAAATAAAAGGTGATTCCAATTATAGGACTAAACTTTTTTTTTAATCATTAGTAATAAGCTAAAAAAAAATAGCATTACTTCAGAAACACATTATAAATTTAAAAATCAAACAAAGGATATAACATTTGGAGTATAACATATAAAAAAAAAAACTGGAGGCCATATCTTGCTCCTAATTGTCTGATATTTTTTTTGTTTTTTAGGAAATTTCGTAAACTTTTAAAAAACCATATACAATATCAACAAAACGATGTATACTTTTTGAGTTATTCGGAATTAAATTTTACCATCCCTCGTAACTTTTTTTCCAGCTTCTTTTCGTTGAAGTATGTTATATAGATAAACTTATAGGGCCTCAAGAAAATGACTAGCGAAGTTTCATTGAAATCGGTAGATTCAGATAGTAAGGTAGATTAAAAGGCGGATAGTAATGCCGATGAAGGAGGATCATCCTCGGGTGACCTCTGCTTTTATATCCAAATTTGAAAAAAAAATCGGTTCAGTAGTTTCGGAGAAAATGCGCGGATGGCGGACGGCTAACGGACAAAAAAATTTTTATTTGTTTTTCGAATTCTCCGTATCCTGAAACGTGAAACCTCAAATTTTGAGAGGGTTAAGTTTTTTAATTTTTTGGTCGATCACAATGGTCGATTATTGAAAATAATAAACCAAAAAAATAGTCACCCTCTCTCACTCCCTGGCCCTGGAAAATCCCGTATAGCCTGAAAGAGGAGGACCAAAAAAAAAGGTTACTTTATTTTATACGTAAATTTTTGGACCAGAAACATTTAGTTTGTCACTTACAGATAAATAAATACAGATCAATTCCTACATTAAATATTTCTCTCTGCTTACGGGAAAACCTGTATATTTTTAGTAAACTTATCCAAAAAGACTTACATGAGGCCGTGAAATTCACATAATATCTTACAGATTGTCCATCATATAGCCAGCAATTTCCTCGTTCACCGCACAAAGTTCCCCAAACTAGGCAGCCATAATCTTGAAAATAAAAAGTTTATATTGGATATATATATATATATATATTTATAGTAAAAGAAGGAAAAGAATTTTTAAAAATAAATGTCTTACCTAGGAGTGTACCATAAAATATGGGGGCAGGTATAAATGCAAACGTTGACAAAAGCGCCTCTGTAAGTCCAATAGAAACTGCTTTATCGTCCTCAGAAACAGAGCTGGAAAATATTTATATTTTAATTTAATTAAAATAAAATTAGTAGGTATGAATTATTATAAAATATTTTTGCTTTTCTAGAGTAACATTCAAATAATTTTAAATCTTTATTTCAAATGATCAATAATATTATTAGTAGTTCTTAGAATCCTTCAAGGCCATCACGAAGCTCTGCCATGCATCTCGATCATTAGCTCCTTGACTCCAGACCAGGTCTGTTCGGCGGATTTCCTTCTCAAAAGTTCTCCACGTTTCTTTAGACCGATGGCGTCTTCGTTGGCTTTGAGGGTTCCAATCTAGACTTTATGGTGTTACGTAGTCATGCTCCTTTCTAAGCGTATGCCCCAGACACCTCCATTTCCGACGTTTAATGACCTGATTTATTAATATTAATTAATTAATTATTAATTAGGACCTGAATAGTTCGCGACCAGAGCTCTGCATTAGAGATTGTTTCAGGCCACCATACTCGCAATATATCCCGCAGTCATCTAATGACGAATGTCTGTAGCTTCTTGGTCACCTGCAAGTCTCGCAAGCATCGATCAAGAAGACATTGAGAAACTCGCTACAACACTGATAAGAGAGGCAGAGCAGATCGGCCTACAAGTGAATGAAGACCAGACAAAATATATTATAATAACCCGAAAATTTTACCCCAATAATTTGATCATTCCCGAGAATAGAAAAATTCAAATTCCTCGGCTCCACAATAACCTCAATGAATGACCAACGGGCATAAATAGACCAGCATATAACTAGCTCAGAGCTTTCTTCTCCCTCTCAAAGGTATTGAAATCCTAAAAAATCTCAAGAAATCTCATTCCAAGACGGTACAATGCTATATTAGAACTAATTTTATCATGGTATTGGATAAAGCCAGTTCTAATATATGGCTGTGAGACCTGAACACTAACCAGCACCCTAGAAAAAAGTATTGAAAGATTTGAGAGCAAAAACCTCCGCACGATAGCCGGAGCGATCTGGAATCAGAGGACCGTAAATAATGGTGAAAACCAAATCATAACGAGCTTAAAATATCTTAGAATCTAAAAATCGGACCTGCATACTGTAATGCGTTTGATATTAGAAAATTTTGCTGTCTCCCACAGTTCAAGTAGGCTCCAGTATTGTCTTATAGATAAGTATTTTATTTTCAATAGAAAGTTTAAATTTTCTATTTAGTAGTCTGTATCGTCGGTTAAGTTTCCGTCTAAGTCTAGTATGAGGGTTCCACGCTAGTCGTCTTTCTAAGAGAAAGCCAATTTACCGGACTGTGTCTGAGAAAGAAAGCTGGATGGAATTAAAGAGTACTGGTGGACAGGAACGGAGTGTGAAGGTAATGTGTTGGAATTTGGATTCATTTACTTTAAGACGCCATTGATTACATCAGTGCTCAATCAAGGAGAGATATCTTTGAAGGTTTAAGGATATTATATTAGGATCTGAATCGGATGATAGGTCGCGTCATCAGCAAATGTTGCCAGGAAGGTATCGCAATGGACAGGGATATCAGTGGTAAAGAGGATGTAAAGGACGGAACCCAATATGCTACCTTGAGGAACACCTGCATCAATTGGATAGCAATTTGAAAATTTAGTGCCGCAGAGAATTACGATCTGAGAGGTAGGAACGGAGGACAAGGTATAAGGACTGAGGAAGATAGGTTTTAAGTTAGAAAAGAAGTCCGGCGTGCCATACTCGGTCAAAAGTTATGTAGCTTGAGCTATGTCCAGAAATGCACCCGAGCAATATTACTTACTTTCCAGGGCTGCGGAAATATGATCGACTACTCGAACATAATATTGATCTCGCCTTGTTGATATTTTCACTTCTATCGTGTGGTCTAAAACAAACACCTTAGTTTTTTTCTGTTCTCTTATGAACAGAAAGAATTCCCATAAGAAAGAACGCCGGGACATATGTCTAATATTTTTCTTTGTAGAATCATCAAAAACAATTAGGTTGAAACCGGTGACCTATAGACTGTGAACTCCTCTTTTCAAAAACATTTATTTTGAAAATGACCTTAATAAGAGCTTAAATTAGATAAAACAAATCAGTGTCAGACCAAAATTGGCGATTATGTAAAATAAAGACTTGTCCCAATGTCCAAACTTTCATACAGCATAAATATCGCAAAAAAAAAAAAAACATGACGACTACACCTAATTATTATCTTATTAGTTATATATATTTGTGGCTCACAATAAATTTGCCATATACCTCGGTATTCAGCAAATATGATATTAAGGAGAAGAAATGATAGCATAAAAAAAAAGAATAGTATAACAAAACAAAAAAAAAAAAAGTATTAAAATAATACATACATTATAACATAATAATAAACACACACACAAAAAAAGAGGTAATGCAGCAAGTAGCTCAATATGTATGTCCATGTCAGTCGTTGGTCCAAGTGGAGACCCAAATATCGTACAGTTTTTGAAGGTGGTAGAGCAATATTATTACAGAACACTGGAGGACAAGAGTCATGTCTAAGTGTAAATGAAACAAATTGGCTCTTAGACTCGTTCATTTTTATCCTCCACCTTTTAGCCCAACAAGCTATGTCTTCTAGGTGTTCTTGAAGTGAGAAGCCTTAGCTGCATCCTTGTTAGACGTTAATATTGCCGAGTCATCAACAACAGCTGTTATAGCCAACAGTGTTTCAGAATAATGTGGTCTTCAACAGTAAATGTTGAAAAATGTTGGACATTGGGACAAGTATTTATTTTACATAATCGCCAATTTTGGTCTGACACTGATTTGTTTTATCTAATTTAAGCTCTTATTCAGGTCACTTTCAAAATAAATGTTTTTTAGAAGAGGAGTTCACCGTCTATAGGTCACCGGTTTTAACCTAATTGTTTTGGTGATTCTACAAATATTAGACATATGTTCCGGCGTACCTTTCGAGTTCGCTGTGGCACTGAATTTTCCAATTTCTATCCCATTGAGGCATGTGTTCCTCAAGGTAGCGTATTGGGTCCCGTCCTTTACATCCTCTTTACCACTGATATCCCTGTCCATTGCGATACCTTCTTGGCAACATTTGCTGATGACGCGACCTATCATCCGATTCAGATCCTGATATAGTATCCTTAAACCTTCAAAGACATCTCTCCTTGATTGAGCACTGATGTAATCAACGGCGTCTTAAAGTAAATGTATCCAAATTCCAACACATTACCTTCACACTCCGTTCCTGTCCACCAGTACTCTTTAATTCCATCCAGCTTTCTTTCTCAGACACAGTCCGGTAAATTGGTTTTCTCTTAGATAGACGACTAATGTGGAACCCTCAAACTACACTTAAAATACAGAAACGTAACCGACGATGCGGCAAATATACAAACTACTAAATAGAAAATATATACTTTCTATTGAAAATACTTATCTACCAGACAATACTGAAGCCTACTTGAACTTACGGACTTGAACTGTGGGGGACAGCATAATCTTTAAACATCAAACGCATTACAGTATGCAGGTCCGATTTTTAGATTATGAGATATTTTAATCAATATCTTCAATAAAGCTCGTTATCATTTGGTTTTCGACACTATTTACAGCACTCTGATCCCAGATCGCTCCGGTTATCGTGTGGAGAATTTTGCTCTCAAATCTTTCAAAACTTTTTTCTAGGGTGCTGGTTAGTCTCACAGCCATATATTAAAAATGGCTTTATCATAGCACTGTACAGTCTTAGAATGAGTTACTGCCTTGAGGTACTCCATCTTTTATTTGTTTTATGGCAGAAAACTCAGTCCCCATTTTCACACGGAAAAATCTATCTTTTAGATATGATAGTAAAATTAAGTAACATGTCGGAGGAATAATCGTTTTTAATTTATGTAACAAACCATCGTGCCATATTCTATCAAAAGCCTGACTTGTGTCAAGAAAAACGCCAGGACAGTACAATTTTGATTCTAGCTAGAAAGATAAGTAATCTATAAGGCATATTACACCTAATAAGATTTAATTTTTGTCATTACCGAAATTGAATGATCGTATTTCCCGCTCTTCCTGTAGCTGAGAAGTAACTCATGATGCATAAAATAGCTATGAAGATGTTGAACTTGGTAGCACACTGAAGCGGGCAAGGGCCTGGGACGAGAGAGATGTCTGGCATACAGCTACAATTTTGGTACACCTAAAATGAAAAATTGAATCAAAATGATTGAATATTGAGGGACTTACTACCAAAAGTTAATTCCTTTATAGTCCCTGGTATAGGCCACTTTTATCAAATTATTAACATCTGCCTAAAAATTCGTAAACAGCTTGATTTCATCGTAACCTACAAATATTTAATTTACAAAAATTCTCACAATTGGGGCGTTTTCAATCAGAAGATTGGCAAAATTTGTGTTGGATTTACATCCAAAATTGTATTGTATACAGCATTTTAAATTATCGTTGTATAAACAACACGGGGGGACCGCCGGTCTCAACTTGCACTACCCCCTCTCTAAGACGGCCTTATCTGCGGCCAAAGGACAGATGCTAGCGAGCGAAGCAGGCAAAAGGACTGTTGACGACCTATCTTATGACCAGACCTCCAGAACCACAGCCCTTCGGCTAATTTCTGGACCCAGAACGGCGGAGAGAGAGAGAGAGAGAGAGAGAGAGTGAGAGAGAGAGAGAGAAGGCGCGAGACCGGCCCCCTCATCAAACTGTACGTAAGCTATTTTACATATATATTCACAAGTATTCCTCTCTAAAACATTTCTTTATTTTGTATCGCTCAAGAAAAGGGCTCCCGATCATATGGCATGTACCGGGCCCCCCAATATTGAACAATTTGTCTATTTAATTATGTACTAACTGAAAATCATGAATAACCATTTGCTTTCCACTTGAATCATAAAATAATATACAAAGTGGCCTAAAACAATATTCAAAATAACTAGGTTATATAGGGAAAACGGCCCAATATTTTTGTAGGCCAATTTTTTTGATTTTGTGATCATATTATGTTACGATTAAAGTGGAAAGCAAATGGATATTCATGAATTTTTAGAATCTAATTAAATAGACAAAGTTTGCCGATCTGCAGGTTACGTTGAAACGAAACTATTCGCGAAATATAAGCCGGATGATAATAATTTAAAAAAAATGGGTATGTAACACGGACTACTATGTTCAATATTGCTAGTAAATGTATTTTTTCCACCATTTGAGAACTCTGAATTAGTACAGTATGCCCGTTTAGAAATAATCGTAAAATTTCAAACATGTTGGAATTTACCAAAGTGCTTTTGGTGGTTTTCCAAGCGGCCTTCGGTGAAACTCTATCCATTATTTCTTAACAATCTTTATTTCTCCTGTAATTTATAATCAAATTGTTTCATCGTTTATATTTGATCATTTTGTATTACTATTACCAATGTTAAATGGTTAATTATCTTTAACAAACTATATATTAAAGGTAGATCTATATATAAAATAATTTTTTGTATAACAGTACATTTATGTTGTTCAACTTAGCTCTGTTGAAGGTAATAAAAACATCACAGAAAAATGGAGCGGTCCACGTCGGAATGAATCATAAAATCCTTGGATATTTTGGAGAGCATATGATATAGCTGTCCTTGGAAGTAAGCAAGAAAACATTGAGAATCTCCCCAAGACTGCTACTAAGAGACGCAGAGCAGTTAGGCCTACAAGTAAATGAAGACAAAATATATGATAAGCCGAAAATCCCCCTTGCGTAGAAGGAAAATCATTTCCGAGAATAATTCCAACGGGCTTACGGCAGAGTTCGGTACTAGAGATTGTTTCAGGACACCATATTCACTAGTCATCTATTGACGAATGTCTGTAGCGTCTTGGTCACCTGCTTAGTTACTCTTCAAGTCTTGCAAGCATATAGCAGAACTGACATAACATTTGTTTTGAAGAGGCAAAACTTGGTCCCGTTCCTGATTTCTTGAGATCTCCACACTGGGTGAAGCTGTGAGAATGCTTTTTGGGCTTTCCTTAAACGGCTCCCAAAGACTTCATCAGCCCCTCCATCCTGCCTCACCATACTTCCAAGTTAGCAGAATAACCATTTCAATTATTTCATCTACTATAAAAAGATTTTCCTGATCCGAATCTCTTTTGTTTTAGTAGCATTTATTTAAATGATCAATAATAATAGAACGTGGACAGGGGCTTTATTTGGAAAATCATGACTGAACTGGGAATCCCCGGTAAGTTGGTGAGATTGAAAATGCGTATACAAATGGTTCCAAATGTAGAGTCCTAATACAAGGAGAAGTATCAGAAGCCTTCTAAGTTCGAACGGGCTTACGGCAAAGAGATGGACAATCACCGATGTTGTTCAACTTAGCCTTAAAGAAGATAATAAGAGCAACATCACAGGAAAATGGAGGAGTCCACGTCCTAATGAATCATAAAATCCTTGTAGCTGCGATACTGTGATACGCAGATGATGTAGCTGTCTTTGGCAGTAATCAAGAAGACATTGAGAACCTCGCTACATCACTGATAAGAGAAGCAGAGCAGATCGGCCTACAAGAAAATGAAGACAAAACAAAATATATGATAATAAGCCGAAAATTCTACCCCAATACCAGGATCTACCTAGAAGGAAAATCATTCTCGAGAGTAGAAAAATTCAAATACCTCGGCTCCACAATAACCTCAATGAATGACCAACGGGCAGAGATAGACCAGCGTATAACTAGTGCAAAAAGAGCTTCCTTCTTCCTTTCAAAGATGTTGGAATCTCGAAAAATCTCAAGAAATCTCAAACTAGGTTGTAGAATGCTATAATAAAACCAGTTCTAATATATGGCTGTGAGACTAGGACACTACCCAGCATCCTAGAAAAAAGTATTGAAAGATCTATGAGAAAAATCCTTCGCACGATAACCGGAGCTATCTTGAATCAAAGTACTAACACATGGAGAAGAAAGACCAATAAAGAACTGCTTACAGAAACTGGTCAATCCATATTCCATGATATGAAGGCATGGAGGTTAAGATGGGTGGGGCATTTAGCTCGTAGCATTCCATATTGAAGTCCCTTCGTAACAATGAATGCCTCAATAGAAGGAAAAAGACCAAAAAGCAGATGGATAGGTAGAGTCAACAAAGATGCAACAGACCTGCTTGCAGATAAATGGAAAGAAATAGCCCAAGAAAGGCAGAGATGGAGCAGGCTTGTTAAGGCGGCAAAACATATGTAATATTATATAATATAGTATTTTATATATTGACCGTACCACCGAATAACTTCATCTGAAATTAGAATCTACCATCTCCATACTAATATTGAAGGTACTTTACTTTACGTGGACACAGAGCTCATTGAAACCATACTATCAGAAGAGGAAATGTTGCCTTTTGATAGCTTCTCTGTTGTTAATACAATGCAAATACTTTCAATTTTACTTTAACATGTCTACTCTTCAATCAACTAATAACTAATAAAGTTATAAATTTCAATAAATATAAATAAAGAAACGTCTGCCAAGTAAGGTTCATATAGTTTCCTCACCGTCTTCATTGCCTAGAAAATATCTATATTACAAGGTCTAAATTTTTTCGTATGGGAATAAAATATCTGGGAAAAGCCGTTTTTGGAAATTTACTAATCTCTTAACATATACAGGTTTGACATCCATGAGTTTTGTTCATCAGCGATTACTAAAATGCGAAAGAGTTCCTCATTTGCAGATTGTATATTTGATCATTCGTGATTAAAAAAAAAAATCCAGTCCATACTGAACATGATGAACAATATATAACTGTTAGTAGTTATATATTGAACGTGCGCAATATGCTGTACCATAAGCCAATGGTAGTTAAAATAATAATAATAATAATAATATATCACTGTATCATATATTCATGTATAATTAGTAAATATTGAATTAATATGCATAAATTTTTATTGAATACCTTCAAAGTTGTATTAAATGACCCACTTGGACAGCCAGCGTGACATGGAGAATAAAATAAAACACTGCCATCTTGTGCGCAAAGTGGATTATATTTTACAGTTGGTGGGCAAGAACAGAAGGTATTGCAGCTCTCTGCTAAACTCCATCTAAGATAAATGAAAAATGTAAATATATTTTTTTTTATACGAAAAATACTTGATATAAAATATTAAATTTACATATTATCTTTTGGTGTAGTATTTAGTGTTGTTAGAATTAAATAAAACAAATGAAGTTTCGTTTTCAGCCTTTAAGTTAAGGTTTATTGAAAAAGATAATGAAAAAAATTATGAATCGAAAACTTTTGTTTTGGGCTGGATAGAAATGTAATAATTGAAAAAAATATCGATACATCCGTCCTATATATATTTTTTATTTTTAAATATCGTCAAGATTTTGACAAAGTTTGGCATGAAGGATTGGCCTTTCCAAACTTGAAATTTTACTTTCTCCGATCTATGATTTAATATTTCCCTCATATTTAAAGGACAGATATTTTACAGTAAAAGTAGGAACAGAACTTTGTGACATTAAGTCTACTAAAGCAGGAGTACCTCAGGGTAGTGTCCTTGGGTCAATATTATTTAGTATATAGTGAATCAGTTCTTAATATACTAATTCAGGATGCCAGTTCTTAATGACCAAACCCTGGAGGGTGATTCTAGACAAAATTTCAAACAACTTCATTTGATGAATGAGTTGAGAATGAAAATGAGTTGATACCAATTTTTTTTGGTCACGTTTTTTATTGAATAAGAAGTAATAGCTCAAAAACTGTTCAACATAAAAAAAAATTAAGTACACCATCGTAAAGTAGTCAATTAATTATTGAGAAAATAAGGATTAAATTTACTGAGGTCAACGATAAATGGGACTTTCAGAAGGACTAATATTTAATAATTAATTCTTAAAAAAATGTACAAAGTAAAATAAGTTTTTCTTGTTTTATAGAAAGAAAAGTATAGTCACCAACAAATAAGTTTTTCACTGACAAAGAGAAATACTTCATTTTGACAGGATAAATTTGACTGGACAAAATGACCAATAAGGCCGAAACGTTATATATTAGTTAGTAAATTTTAGTTAGTAATTTTATATTAGTTAGTAATTCTATATTAGTTAGTAAATTTTATATCATTCCCATCCTGGATAAGCATTTTTCTTTTATTTTCTCCAATTTCCAATTATCATATTCTTTCAAACTTCATATTTAGCCAATTTTTATAGTTACTGTCGATAAGAGACGAAAAAGTTGCTGTAACATCTCAGGTATATACAAACCTTAAATATGCTATTTCACTTTCATACGATTTTTCGTTTTTTTAGCTACACTGGTCACAAACATATCCACAGACCATTTTGCGGGACTTTGTTATTTGAAATCTGGAGATCTCAAAACATGACTCAGAAGACTCAGATTCAAAAATTTTCACGATCTCAATACTTACCCTCACTATATATTTCATATACAGGTAAGTGAAAGTAAAAATAAATAAAAAACAAATAGTAGTAAATAGGCCCTATAAGAAGTTATGATTTTGTTTTGCAGGATATTTTTATTTCAGTCGGTAAGAATGAGGAAAAAATTACTAAAACCTTCATATATATTTATTTAATTCAAACCGCTTACCAAAGTATTTATGAACTTAAAAATTCCTAATGACAATAAAAAATATAAAATAAACTTACCCATCACTCTCCCAATGACCCTGCAAATTTTCAGTAGGGCATCCTAGATATGCGTAAGACAAATGACCAACGACGTCAATCGCCTCAACTATTACGTTCCAAAGAGCTAATGATTGTGGACTTGGTTTGAAACGGGTAATAACTATGCCGGAAGTAAGTACTCCGAGAGCAGTACACACTAACCCAACTGCTCCTGAAAATCGTAAGAATAAAAATTATGAATTAAATGATGCAATATACGTTACTATGAGGTTATGGCCACTATAAAATACTCTACGATAAGAATACTCTAGAAAGAAAAATAGTGTCAATTGGCCAAATGATATCCGTGAATAAATATAAATATTACGTAACCACTGTATACTTTACAATAGATGGTTCTAGAGGTTTTTATGACAACACATTTTTAAGGTTATTATATGGGATTTTATTGGAGATGTGATATTGCAACATCTAAAATGATTTATCCAAGTACACTGGATGAATATACGAGGTACGCCCAGAAGGGGTTAGCATGGCGAAAATAGCGTCATCAAAACTTTTGATGTGAAAACAGGAATATGGATTTTTGAAGGGAAGTATATTTTTATGAGGTTCCAATAAAATAAAACCTTTAAACCAAGTAACAAAGAAAAAGATTAAACAACACTTCTTGTATTTTTACTTTCATTTGTACCGTTTTAAGAAGAAGAGAGCAATCAATTTTCTTGGGAAAAGAGTGCGTGGTGGTTCAGAGCCCTTCAGGAGAAATAGACACCCTTGGAATATTCATATGTAAGAGTACAATTGGTATTCTTCTTGAATTTATTTACAAGTAATCCTATTATTTCTTCATCTTGATATTTGTCATAAAATACGTTCACGTATCTCTTACCACAACGCAGAATTAGAGAGGCTCTCCCCTTCCTGCTAGAAACAATGTTTCCTAGGTAAATTCCTTCATCAGATTATCAATAGCCGTCGTCCCTCCAGTACTCATGATTTCCAATTCAAGTCCTCTGTCCTCTCTCTTACCACAAGATTTTGATCTTTTGACGTTCACACCTCTTTTCATAGATCAGTCTCTTTCCAGAATTCCTTCGTTTCCCGCTTTGCTTCCTTCTGTAATTTCCTCGCTTTATAATGAACAGAACCTCCGGCGTATCCACCTTTAAAACCCTCTTATTCTAATTTCTATTCTCGAAACAGTCAGAAACCGGCTAACCACGTATTAAGTAATAGTTCCTTGTTTAAAAAAACATAGTTTTTATCTATTCATTATTTTTTCTTTACTTATTACTTATGATCTGGTATATATATTTTCTTCAATAATTTCTGTTCAATAGAAATTCTATGCTATTTAATTTACCTCATTTATTTATTTTCTTACTATTTTTGTTATATATGTTTTAATGTTTCTGAGATTGGATACATAAATTCTTATACCTCCTACTTGTGAAATACATACAATATATACATGTTCATTATTTTTATCTTTATGTTGACTATCCAGTTTTATATATATATATATATATATATCCATACGTGGATATGGATTTTTGAAGGGAAATATATTTTTATGAGGTTTCAATAAAAGAGAACTTTTGAACGAAGTAACAAAGAAAAACATTAAACTACACTTCTTATATTTTTACTCTCATTTGCACCGTTCTTAAGAAGAAGAGAGCAATCAATTTTCTTGGAAAAAAAGTGCTTGGTGCTTCAGAGCCTGAGGAGAGATGGGCACCCTTGAAATATTCATATTTAACGGTACAATTGTCACTCTTCTTGAATTTATTTTTATGTAATCCTATTATTTGTTTCATCTTGAAAGTTGTCATAAAATACGTAACGTATATCTTACCACAACGCAGAATTAGAGAGGCTAGAAACAATGTTTCCTGGGTAAATTCCTTCGTCAGATTATCAACAGCCGTCGTCTCTCCAGTACTTATGATTTACAATTAAAGTCCTCTGTCCTCTCTCTTACCACAAGATACCGATCTTCTGACCTTTATACTCCTTTTCACTGATCTGTCTTTTTCCAAAACTCCTTCGTTTCCCTCCTTATCTATGTATAAAACCCTCTTATTCCAATTCCTATTCTCGAAACTGTTAGAAACCAGCTAACCAAGTATTAAGGAACAGTGTCTTGTTTAAAAAAACATGCTCTTTTCTTATCTGATCTCCTATTCAAGTCATCTAACGACTCTCTTACCACCAGATTCCAATTTTCTGACCTTTATACCCTTTTTCACAGATCTGTCTCTTTCCAGAATTCCTTCGTTTCCCGCTTTGCTTCCTTCTGTAATTTCCTCGCTTTATAATGAACAGAACCTCCGGCTTATTCACCTTTAAAACCCTCTTATTCTAATTTCTATTCTCGAAACAGTCAGAAACCGGCTAACCACGTATTAAGTAATAGTTCCTTGTTTAAAAAAACATAGTTTTTATGTATTTATTGTTTTTTCTTTACTTACTACTTATGATCTGATATATATATTTTCTTTAATAATTTCTGTTCAATAGAAATTCTATGCTATTTAATTTACCTCATTTATTTATTTTCTTACTACTTTTGTTATATATGTTTTAATGTTTCTGAGATTGGATACATAAATTCTTATACCTCCTACTTGTGAAATACATACAATATATACATGTTCATTTTTTTTAAATCTTTATTTTGACTATGCATTTGTATATATATAATGTGTGCGTATTTAAAATCGATTTAAATAATAGTTGTAATATTATTATATTTATGCTCATTTATTCTAGACTTGGTGATTATTTCTCACAGGGATTTATTTTTTATTTGTTGTTTTCTTTTCTATCTTTTTTATTTCTTTATTTTCAGTTAAACAGCGATTATTTTCTTTCAGTTCTTATTTATTACTTATTCTTTATCATCTTTATATATATTATTTATTTATTTATTATTTATATTTTTTTTATTTAGTATTTGTTTGTATCTTTATTTATCTTATTTATTTACTTATTCTAATTGTATATTGTTCTAAGTATTTTGTTAATAGATTCATTAGTTTGATTTTTTATATATTGTTATTTCACTTAAGGTTTTAATATATTCATTTATTTAATGTAATAATTCTTCTGGCCAAAAGTCATTCTTTTTCTTCTGTAACATTCCGTTATTCTTAAGGTACTTCGTCCTAGAATAAAGTTGTATTTCTAATTCTATTTCTAAATCTAACTAATAATGTTTAAATAAAATATATTTCTCATAACTATAAGAGTCTCCACAAGTATTAACAATCTGGCAGGCGAAAACTTTTTTGATACCATAGTAAAATTTAAAAAAAATATTTACGAAATATGAAAACCAGTAAATCATCCAAACACTAGAAAGCTCATTTCACAACTGAAGGACTATTTATAGAAAACAATTTTTTTTCATCACAAGGCAACAAGTAAAAATAAAATGAAAGTATACATAATTAATTTTAAAATGAGGTATTGAACATCTTCCTAGCACCATCAGTTGTAAATATTTTTTACTTGTAATCTTATTGATTTACTATTTTATTGTGATAAATTTTACAATAATATTGCTGTTACACACATTTGCAGCACTGCTGTCATGAAATATTTAAATGTTTATGAAAATAATATTTTTATATTTATTTACTTTACCCGTTATGAAACTAGCTTGTGATGCAGACTGTTGAAACTGCGTCTCCAAGTATTTTGGCATGAAGGTCCAATATCCCATAATTCCGAACATGTAGAATGTTGCACTCACCGAATTCAACATGAGAACTTTATTTTTCAGCAACCGCTTCATCATTAGTTTAAAATCTGCACAATTCTGCTGATTAATAGGTAAAATTTAATTATTCATGTTTCAATTATTCATATTTTACAGATCTAAGAATCAAGTTTTCTTCAAATAAAATTTTTATTTTTTTTTTATTGAATATTAATACATTCTACCACATTAAATGGAATTAATATTAAGGCTACACGAATCATTCACGCAATATTTACATACAAATAATAACTAACATTTCGATAATAAAGAAAAAGAAATATAGAAAAATAAAATAATTAAATTGATATGCTTGTTTAAAAGAAAATGAAATAATAGATAAAAGCAAAATGAAATTAAAGTAAATAAATCACATTCACACCTATGTACAATATTTACATTCACCCAGGGGACTCTGAGTCCCGCTTTATTTCCCGATGTGGAAGCCAAGGCAGGACTCCAGGAGATCCCATTGCTTCTCTCTCAGTGCGTCACTGTTATTTGAAACCAGTGGAAACTGATGGAGGGCACTACAACAACAGACGCTCATGTCTTCAGTGGAGAATCTGGCCATTGCCAGAACTCCAATATATAAACATTTACAGAAGGTCGCGGGGCCACTGCCATTTTAACCTCCGGGAAGGATTGTAGGGATGGCTGGAGCTAGATAGGGATTATGCTACAGGATTTGGATGATGAGTGAGGTTCTGGTGAAATTTGGAAAATTTGTTCTGGATTAGGTCAAGAACAAATGAGATATGAAGGTCATTATGGAGGGTTTTATTAATTACATAGAAGGGAGCATCGACTATTGATCGGAGGACTTTAGACTGGAAGGATTGAATGCATTTTAAAATTAAAGTTGTTTTTTAGGGTTGTGATTTTCCTTATCGATATCTATACGTCTTTGGCATCGACATTATTATAATACCGAATCAAAAATACAAATATCGCCATTATCGAATTATATCGATTAAATGTTAACCTAAACTATTAAACTATTAATGTGCTATATTGCTATCTTGGGTCATGTGACCAATCAGCCATTATCTAACCAATAAATTCACTTCTGATTTTAGAGAGAGAATACATGATTGATTCTGCAATAGTTCCTGAGTCCATACCAAAACAATGCCTTTATTTGAATAAAAATAAGTCTACTAAATTAAATTTGCTACCTGTGGCCAGTAAAAGCATATCAAATATTTGAAACTCAAAATCATATTTGCTTGCAGACAACAGTTTCTCTCTTATGGAAGCCTCATACGATAGACAATAACGCAGTGCCTTCAATGAACTATGTCGGATACCTCGGACTCTGCTTAGACAAAAGACTTACTTGGAACATGCATACGAAATAAAAAATACAAGAACTGATTAGACGATATAACTAACTCTCCCGTCTTCTGGACTACAGATCCTCACTTAACTTCCGAAACAAGCGATTAATCTACACCATACTGAGACCAATTTGGACATAAAGAGCAGAACTTTAGGTTTCGGTAAAACAAACACACATAAATAAACTACAATAAAAAATTCTACAAAAAATTGTCAATGCACCGTGGTACATTTCAAATAACACTATACATGACAACTTAAACATCCCAACAGTAAAATTCTACTTCCACGACAAATACAATTCATTTCATTCTTCAAATCTAAATCATACCAATCCATTAGTCCTTCCTATTTCCTGCTCCCTGATACCTGATCGACGCAGACTGAAAAGAAAATGGCCAAGGGACCTCATACATTAATAAGGGACCTCATAATTAATTTATAACATACATTAATATAATGTTAAAAAAAAAATGACTTACGTTTATAATATGACCGGAAAGAAAAATATCAAAATCCGATATTTGCATTTTTCTTCTACTATCACAATAATATAGAATACTTTGTTTCGAAACGGTAATGGCCAATATCGATACATTTGAACAAGGAGTTTTAGTTTCAATCAGTTAAAAATAAAAGTGGTTGCCTAAATAATCCTAAACTTTACTAATGTTTGTTAATTTTTTTTTTTAAAACAAGATCTTTATTAATTTAAAGAATAAAAGAATATAAAAAAAAAGGTCGAATTACAATGATTGAATTGTTGCAAATCGATTTACTTATAAGGGTAGATAGAAAATCGAATGATAAATAGGTTATGAATTCGGCAAAACTTAAAGACTTAAGGAGATCAAGAAAAACTGTACTTTATAGAACAATTCGAAGTGAAGGTCAAGAAGGAAATAAAGCATCCACTGATGCAAACGTTTCGGACATTGTGAATTTTCTCGCGGATACCTCCTCTGAGTATTAGAACTCCAAACGTACTCCCATTGTCATATTTCTCGAACAGTAAACCACGTACTTCAAGAATGCAATGCCTACACTCAGTGTATTGATTACGTTCTACCTTAGGGCCGGGCCACCAGGGGTAATTACCTAGTGTTGCCCAAAATCGGTCTTGGTCTTGCACTTTGCAACACCAAGACCGCCTGATTGTTGAAAGACTAAGACCAAGACTGGTAAAATAAAAATCGTTTTTGTGAATAAAAATTAAGGCAAAATATTTATTAAGTTTGAATATTTATTTAGAATGAATATATTATTAACCAATAAATCATCCAAATTTACTTGTCCTCTTACTTCCTCTTTATTCTCTTTATCTTCTTGGAGGATTATAGGGATGGGAGGTGCTTGATAGGGATTGTGCAATAGGATTTGGGTGGTACGTATGGTTCTGGTGAAATTTGGAGAATTTTTCTGGGATAAGGTCTTGGACAAATGGGATGTTGAGGTCATGATGTAGGGTTTTGTTGGTTACATAGGAAGGAGCATCGACTATTGTTCGAAGGACTTTTGACTGGAAGGATTGGATGCGCTTTATGTTAGAAAATTTTGCTGTTCCCCACAGTTCTAGTCCGTAAGTCCAAATAGATTTCAGTATTGTCTTGTAGATCAGTAGCTTGTTTTCAATGAAAAGTTTAGATTTTCTGTTTAGTAGCCGGTATAGTTGGCCGTATCGTCGGTTTAGTTCCTGTATTTTAAGTCTAGTATGAGGGTTCCAGGTTAGTCGTCGGTCTAAGAGAAAGCAAAGGTACCGGACTGTATCTGATAAAGGAAGCTGGATGGTGTTAAAATAAACTGGTGGACAGGATTTACGACAAAGGCTGAAGGTTATGTGTTTAGATTTTGATTCGTTTTTCTTAATGCGCCATTTCTTACACCAGTGTTCAATCAAAGAGAGAAATGCATTTGTAGGTTTAATGACGCTGTTTTAGGATCTGAGTTGGTTGAAAGGAAAGCGTTATCATCAGTGAATGTTGCCAGGAGGATATCAGGATGGGCAGGAATATCTGCGGGGAAAAGAATGTAAAGGATTGGACCCAAGGCCCTGCGTAACTCCCGCCACAATTAAATGACAGTTGGAGAATAATGTAAAATAAAATAAAAGATTTTTACCTTTAAATGATAACTGCGTGTCATCAAACTTAATCCCTGCTTCGATCTTTCGATTATATGCCCTTGGTAAATGCCTGGGAAAGGGCCAGATAAAGAACGCAAGAACTATAGAGCTAATTCCAATCGGTACAAATCCTAAAAATAAAACTCATAGATTAATGTTTTTAAATTGAATTATATAAAATATTCGACAAACATACCACTTTACCTATCCACCAGGCACCAATCCATCGTGGATCGTCTGATTTTATTCCTGGATCGATAGTTGGGTCTATGTACATAGATAGCGCGTATGATCCTAACATGTATCCGATCGTAGGACCTATCATTCTTATTGCCATGACAGCACCTAATAACAAACATATTGTCAAAATTAATATTGAATAGGATGTATTAAAAAAAAAAATGCCGTTTTTTCTATATCTTTCAACAAATGCGACTTTATAACTTAAATTTTATGGTATTAATGAGGAGCAATAAAGTCCCAATTAATAAATACTTAAACTTGTTATAACACTACCTAATAATATAGGCATTTTATTCTTCCTTGCATTATCATCAAGGTAGGCGATTCCTAAAGTGTAGTAGACACAAGTTCCAATTCCCAATAAAGTATTTGCTGAGAACAGAATTATTGAAGACAATCTACTCTCCTCTCCCTCTGTGCAAACTTCGTCAGACACAGAACCCAGTTCGCACTTAGAACTCGGGGTAGCTAAAAAAAAATAATACATTTTAAAATGAAAAACTTAAATAATTCCACTCTAAGATAATTATTAACAATTTTCAACCAATATCAATTTTTGAATTATTAATAATTATAATCTTTTGATAGAGTCTGGCACCCGGGACTGCTTTACAAACTCGGTAAATTCCTACATCCTCATTACCCGTTTCTATTTAATTGAAAGATAGTCAAAGTATATCATAATAATGCCTATTCATCGCTCTTATCTCAATTCACTGATATTCCTTTAGGAATACGTGGAACAAATTTTTAAGAGAGGTTTGAGCCCACGACATGTTATACAGGTCAAGTAAAAAAAATGGAGGGCCTTGCTAAGTCGTTGAAGTAGACGAGAGTCTTTTTTCTAAAAGAAAATATCATGTATGGAGAGTCCTACCTGAGCAATGGTTAGTTGGCGGAGTTTACCCAAGTACCCAAATATTTTATTAACGAAAATTCTCGTAATTGAGGCATTTTCAATCTAGAGATCGGCGAACTTTGTATATTTAATTAGGTACTGAAAATTCATAAATACCCATTTGCTTTCCAAATGAATCGTATGATAATTTTAGCACAAAATCGATAAAAAATTTTGAGTCGTTTGACACCCCCAAATTGTCAAAAAAACAATGTTATATAGGACAAACAGCCCAATATTTTTGTAAGCCTCCTTTTTTATCAATTTTGTGATCAAATTACCTTACGATAAAAGTGGCAAGCAAATAGGTATATATGAGTTATTAGTACCTAACCAAATAGAAAAAGTTTGCCCCCCTCCAGATTGAAAACGCCCCAATTCCTAGAATTTTCATTAATAAGATAGTTGTAGGTTACGATGAGATGAAGCTATTTACGAAGTTTCAGGCAGATGTTAATAATTTGATAAAAAGGAGTCTGTACAACGGACTATTATACTTCTTTATATGAAGTAAAAAAACAGCATACCTATCACAAAGGCATATTTCATTTATTAGATATTAAGGTGCAGTATTCAGTTATCGGTGACACTTTTTATGAAAATAAAATCGATTTTATGATTGGGCGGTTTGTATTGATACATTAATTAATACAGATTACACAAATAATGTAACATACAATATACTAATTTAATGAAAAAAGTTGTATCTTTAATCTATACATGAAATACATGGTAAAAGGAGAAACACTATTTAATAATGTAGGATGCTGATAATGTCTTTTGCGGGCGATACTATGTTTGTATCCAGACAACGAAGAAAAAATTCTTTAAACCTGAGTGTCTAGTTGTAAATTAAAATAACATATTTATTTAATGATATGTAATTATGATTATGTATAATTTATTATTATATATCTTACTATCGTAAGTAGAATTGTCGAAAGTTCCCGGGCCATAGATCATGTGAGGGAGACTCATGATCCCGGATGAAATAGCGATCGCGAATGTTCCAATGGCGACCCACCTCGGTTTGTGACCCTTGCTGCCGAGGTAGGTCAGAAAGACTAGGCAAATCAGCGACCCTATGTCCCAACTGGACATGATGAGACCTGGAATTAAATAGCACTTAGTTTATTTTTATATTGAATATTGTGTTATGTGTTTCAAGGGCGATAGCCCATGTCTTCTCTCCCAAGAAAATTTATTGCTTTCCTCTTCTTTAAAAAGGTTGTGAATGGGAGGATGACATGATTTGACCGTAATTATTCAGTTAGATCCCGTGAATGTTTTGAAACAATTTGAGCTCAAGATACTAAAACAACAATTATTATAATGATGTAGAGATGGTTGACCGTGATACAATATGAGAAGGAGTTGATCGGGGAGTGCAGTCAAATAAATACTAAGTTATATGAATAGTATTATTTAAATTTTTGCCGACGTTTCGACCCACTTCGCAGGTATTAATCAGGGCTATAAAAGATACAAAATATAAAAGGTACATGGTGAAAATAAAATAAATGGATATAAGTAGATATAAATTAAGAATAAGTTGTCTGATAGAGAAATAAAAAGATGATATCAGAGATATAGTGGGTGACAATGTAGTAAAAATATCAAATATTATATATATAGAAGATACAAACAAAAATATAAAATAAGTATAAATAAAAATATAAAACAAAGGAGAATACAGCATGTAAGTTAAAGGTAAACAGATTGCGATAAAAGATAAGGAATGAGTGTATAACAAACTAATAAAGATTACATTTGATAACTGTAGGTTAACAGATAAAGAAAATGAATGTTAACGAATAAAGAGATTGAAAATTGAAATAAGTATTGATATAGTAAAGCTAAAATAACAATAAGATAACATAATAGATACTCGTGATAATAATAAGATATCCGTGGATAACAAGCTAGTAGAGGTTACATTTGATAACTGTAGGTAAACAGATAACGGGACTGAAGATTAAGAAATAAAGGAATTGAAAGATTAATAGGATAACAGTAGTTGTAAAATCGTTAGGATAGATTTATTAATGTAATGTTACATTAATTGCATGATACATAAATTACATGATTTACAAATGTAATCTTAATTAGTTTGTTATACACTTATTCCTTATCTTTTACCGCAATCTGTTTACTTTTAACTTACATGCTATATTCTCGTTTGTTTTCTATTTTTATTTATACTTATTTTATATTTTTGTTGTATCTTCTATATATATAATATTTGATATTTTTACTACATTGTCACCCACTATATCTCTGATATCATCTTTTTATTTCTCTATCAGACAACTTCTTCTTATTTTATATCTACTTATATTTATTTATTTTATTTTCACCATGTATCTTTTATATTTTGTATCTTTTGTAGCCCTGATGAAGACCTGCAAAGTGGGTCGAAACGTCGGCAAAAAAATTAAATAATACTATTTATATAACTTAGTATTTATTTGACCGCACCCCCCGATCAACTCCTTTTTAAACAATTATTATAGTTTAAATATCTCGATTATCAATAATTTTTTTTTTTTTTTTTAGCTTTAATGTTTTATTCACACCTGTCATAATGCTAATGACAACCAGTGAATGTGAGATCGATTGATTAATAGAATTGTCATGAAAGGCATGAGGAGGATCAGTGCCCAGCGGCACCTCACTCGGCGTGATATCTACATTAGGCGAGGAGGTCCCTCATCCAGCTCCTCTAATCAATAAATTTGAAATGACATTTTGTGATCATAGTCCGTAGTAGAGACCATCGAATAGATTTCATCGAATTATTAACATCCGCCTGAAACTTCGTAAATAGTTTCATCTCATTGTAACCTACAACTATTTTATTTACGAATACTGTTGGAATTGGAACGTTTTCAGTCTAGAGGAGGGCAAACTTTGTCTATTTAATTAGGTACTAAAAACTCGTAAATACCCATTTCCATTCCACTTGGATCGTAAGATAGTTTGATAACCTTGTTATTTTGACAATTTGGGGGTGTAGGTCAAGCCAAACGGCTCAATATTTTTTCTCTATTTTTTTATCATATTATCTTCGATCCAAGTAGAAAGGAAATGGGTATTTATGAGTTTTCAGTACCTAATTAATTAGATAAAATTTGCTCCCCTCCAGATTGAAAACGCCCCAATACCAAGAGTTTCCATAAATAAAATAGTTGTAGGTTACGATGAGATGAAACTATTTACCATGTTTCAGGCGGATATTAATAATTCGATGAAAAGGGGTTTGTACCACGGACTACCATAACGTCGAAACCATGTTAAATTAACGAACGTGAGACTGTTTAATATAGCACATCAGTTAGTTTAATATGTTGCCGAAGATATGTTAAGAAACTGAATTGTTAAAATTAAAAAAAATGTAAAAATAAAAATATATTTTAATTTTAAAAAAACTTTAGGTTATTTTATTCTTTAAGTTATTTTATTTTTTTATTATGCATAGTTTTTTTTTATTATTATTTAGTTATTATTTTACTTTTGTTAATTTTATATTTTCTTTATATATGGTGTAAATGTGTTCATTTATCACTATAATTATTGTCCACAAGACAGAATATTATGTATCTCAATAAATGAATAAATTAAAAAAAAAAAGACTAATGAAATTGGAAAATTGTATCCACCTTGAGGGAATATACTTTCATATCTACTAAAATATCTTAGTAGATTGATAGGGAGTTTGACTTGTACGAATATTTAAATTTGGTGTAGTGGTCGGGTTCCTATCAGACCTCAAGACTCATTCGGATGTTGACATGCAGCGATACATGGAACGAAATATATTTTCATTGAGCCGTAATGTGTAGTGAAAGAAACCCGACCACTACACCAAGTTTAAATATACCTAGATGTCAATTTCCCTATCAACCTACCAAAATGTTTCAGTAGATAAGGAAGTATATTCCCTTAGGGTGGAAAGAATTTCCCAATTCCTGTAGTCGTTTTTTTAATTGAAATCTTATTTTTAACTTACCTGTTGTTCGGCTCGGAATTTTGAACCTTTTTTCGATAGTCGTAATAATGGCAACTTCATATGAACCAAGAGCGAAGTGTACCAAGCCGATGAGTCCATAAACCAATACGTAAATTTTAGTACTAGTAAATATTTGCCAAGTTCCTCCTTTCCAACAGAAGAAACCACACTCAGTATCTGTAAATAATAAAATTACTATTATTCTAAATTTAAAAAAATATTTTAAAAAAATTTGTTTAATTATTGACGAAGAATGGGGGACAGGAATAGAAAGGTAGCTTGGTGGAGTGGGACGGGACATAAACAACGTTCCTATTTCCTCATATTTCTCTCTACTTGCTGGCAGTCTTGTCCAAATGCAAGACCAAGACAAGTCTTCGTCTTGCGCGTTCGTTCTTGATCTTGGTGTTGATCTTGCACAAGACCCTTGCAGTTACCTATTAGATTATAGCTATTTATTAAACATCTTACTTTAGATCTTAGATAACACCACAAAATAGGTACATTTAGATGTTTTTTATTGACATAAACATGATAAAGTCCAACGAACTTAATAAAATCAACTTGATAATACATTAATGGCATTGTCAATAATATATTGATAGGCTTTCACGTAGGAACGGAAGATTTTTAAAGTAAAATCAATCTATATAATGTCACCAATTATTTAAATTAAAAAATCTTCTCTGTCCACTTACATGAGTTTTCCACAGTTTGATTTTCAATTTAAACCCCAACTAAACCTCGAATAAAAAATCGAGTGCGGTGCGCGCATTACACAACTTCACTTACCGCCATCTTCTTATCAGAAATAAGTATTTTCATATAAAGGGGAAGTGAAAGTAAAAATTATAGAACATATATTTATTTAAATTTTATTGTGGGTATTTTTATTTATATAAGTACCCTTATATATATATATATATATATATATATATATATATATATATAAATTTTAATATTTATATCGCATTAATCTATACAATTAAATATTAAATAATACCAACAATAGCATTTATGAAAACCGCATATGACATTTACATAAGTCAGAGTCCGTATTAAGCTCATATTACGTATGAAACATGTAACTTCGGGTGAGCGATCGTATTCGTTTGTTTCCTCAATTACTACTAATCTTCGTTACGATTCATTATATCTCCTTTAGTTGATTATCAAATTCTTTCATATTTTATATTTAACCATTTTTCATATTAGAAATTAATTTGAAATGGTCAATTGTTTCAATTAAACAGAATTAAAGGTACTTAAGAGTAAGCTAATATTGAAAATTAGCCATTTAAGCCCTGTTAGAGAACATCAATCAGAATAAAAAATTTATTTAAAACTGCTTAATTTTACACTGATGTAATTAATGAATTTAAACAGAATAGTTAGAGCTGTTTTCGAAAAAATCGTAAAAATGTGTTTAGTCCTTGATATAATGTGCCACTTCCGGTTTGTCGAAATTGACAAAAATGTTAAAAACCTTAAATATGCAATTTTCCTTTCGTGCAACTTTTCGTTATTGAGCTAGACTGTTAACACACACAGAAATAAAAGAAGAAAAAAAGGTAAGTGACAGTAAAAATTGGAAGAGTTAAATAGAAAAAGTATACTGGTTCTACAAATTCTTTACATATCGCAGTTTTTTTATTTGTGTTTTTTTTTATTCGTAATCGCCTCTACCCTAGAGGGTCATTGGTTGCTAGTTTTCTATATTCTATTGTAATGTTTCGTCTCTATTAAGTATCGCAATAGGGTGGTGACTCCATCTTCGTTGTCTCTCAATATCTCTTTTATTGTTGTTGGTAGTTTCAATTTTTGCCGAATGTTGTTTAACTAGTTGTACTCTACTAACAGGTGTTTTACTGACTGCAGTTTATTGTCACACTTTTGGTACATGTGTGCTTCTAGTCCTCTGAGAAGTTACCCGTGGGTAAACAGGCAGTGACCAATTCTTATTCTACACAATATGGTTTCTTCTCTTCTGGATATTCTGGTGCTAGTAGCCCACTTGTTGCAGTCTCTTTTTATTTCTAATAATTTTGACTGTTCAGTTTTCCATCTATTTACCCAATTTTCCAATAACTTCTTTTTTGTTGCGTGAACCCAGTCCTCCACTGTGGTACAATTTATTGAAATTATGTTTAGTGCCTCTCCCTTCCTTGCTAAGTTAGCTGCTCAGTCTGCTCTTTCATTGCCTGTGATGCCACAATGAGATGGAACCCAGACAAATATCACTCTGACCGTTCTTTTTTTTAATTCCCACCATAGATTCAATATAACTCTTATAATTGAATTGCTTGGCCATGGGTTACCTATTGCTGTCATGACGCTTTTGGAATCTGATGCTATCATCCATTGATTGTCATTGGAATTTGATATCTGTAAATGGAGGGCCTCCATGATCGCAGTAGCTTCTCCGGTAAATATGGAGCTGTCTTCAGGTAAGCTAAACAGAAGTTGGTGTTGGTTTTTATTAATATTTACAGCGCAGCCAACACTATTTTCCATTTTGGAGGCATCGGTATATATCACATTATATCCGTCGTATTTCTCCAATAATTCAAAAAAGTAGTTTTGGATATCCAGTGGGTATTCTTTGTTTCGTCTTGTCATTGATACATCTATAGTCGGTCTACTGTTCTTCCAGTTAGGGATTTTGAGGTTAGGGATGCGTCTAATTGTGTTCAAATCCATGTTCACATTATATACCGTTTTCTAAATCATTTGTTTAAATATGCTCTCCTCTATCTCCTGAAGTCCTCGCCTACCAGATCTTTCATCAAATAGTTTTGAACTCAAAGGGTGTTGTGGACATGCTTTTAATTTGGATACATATTTTATTGATAAATATATTCGTCTCATCTCTAATGAGGGTTCTCCAGATTCGGCATATATATTTTCGACTGGAGAAGTTCGGAAAGCTTCTGTGCAGATTCTAAGAGCCGAATTGTGGATGGAATCAAGTATTTTTAGCAACGTTTTGCGACCTGTTCCATATATTTGGGCTCCATATTCAATTTTACTTCGAACCACACTATGATATATTTGGATGAGTGTCTTTCTATCGGCTCCCCAGCTTGATTAGTAACAATGTTACCTTAAATTTTATTCACAAAAACGCCTTTTCTTTCTTTTTTTTTTTTGGCTTGATCCCTCAATAATAAGGCAATCTTGGCCAAGCAAAGTGGCCAAAATCAAGACTGATTTTAGGCAAGATTACTCACGGAACAAACTGCATATTTTGATTGTGTTTTGCTCAGAACACTCATAGAAATAATTTATGGATTAATGAAAAAAAAAAACCAGATATTTTTCATTGGGCGGGAAGGAGAGGGAATTCACAAATGGACATAGCATCTTTTGAAACCAGTATTCATATTCATATGGAGTTATGAACATACATTAAATGAATATACATTAAAAATTAGAAATAAATGAAGTGTGTGTGTATTTTAGATCACACGAAGTGATGTAAGTGAAAACATCAAAAATACGAGATTAATGATATGAAATATAAATTATAAATAATAGCTTTTTATATAAATAAAGATGATGAAATGCTGAACATCTCCCTCGCTTACAATATGCAGGTCCGATTTTTAGTTTTTGAGATATTTTAATCCATATGAAAAAATCTGGTGTGTCCACTCACACAACTTTCCTACCTATTTCAGAAAAGTTTTTATATCTTTACATATGTTCATGAAGAAACAAAAAAGAATTGAAATACATTTATTTTCCTGAAAATTGATCAAACAAAAGATTTGAGTACAATTTATTAGATAAACTAAATCAATGAAACCGGCTTAAGATAATTCAGTGTAAAAATTTCAATACTCACTAATATTGCTGATCAAAAACTTTTTGCTATAGCTTAGTATTGTCAAACAATAATTTCTGTTAAAAGTAAAGGAAATAGTGAAGATTGTGTGATGCGGGCAACAGTAAACTCGTAATCTTTCATTGGAAAATAAATAGCTGTAACATCGTTAATAGTTGTCCAAAATGAACGATTTTTATATGGATTTGTATGGAATTTAATTACCTTTCAAAAGTTTTATTATAAATTTTACCGTATAATATATACTTAGGGAGTTAGGCCCCATAATATTCTTCTTTTCTTTCTCGGGAATTTAGTCTATATACGAAAATTGAAAGGACAATGATTAGAACATCATAGAAAAGTTTCATCAAAACGTTAGAGCCGTTTTCGCGCTACAGTCTATAGAAAACAGGTTTTTCATTTATTGCGCGCAAGATTTTGCGCATGGAGCACCAAATTTCTGTCACAGGCATTAGTAGTCCAAACCCTACAAAATAAAAAAAGAAGCAACAATATCGGTTCAGTAATTCCTGAGAAAATCTTGGCACAGACAGACCAATGGCTAAAAATGTGTTTTTTGGACTCAGGGGGCTGTGAAACGTATAGATCCGTCGAAAACCGCATGTCGGAAATTTGACCCGATTGCAATACTTTCCTTACCTAGTATAGGTAGGAAAGTAAAAAAACACTTCAATTAGTCGACTCCAGCCGGCTTTACCCGAGCGTTACCCATCAGAAATCTGACGGATCAATCTAATTCACTCTTTAAAAAAAAACGCATATAAAAATCGATAAAAATGTATTCGTAATAAAAATTACTCACCTCCTTCATTGGCTTGGGGTGAATTATTTTTAGACATGAAATTGATGAAGTTTTCGATTCGACTGGTTTCAAAACTCGAATAGCATCTGAGAAACCTTTTACCAGATAAAGAATGGCAGCTGAGATAGTTCTATTTGTTTAAATCATATCAACTCCTTTGTCTGTATTTACTTTCTTCTATAATAATTTGAAAAGATTATGTCTCCATTACGGTAGTTATAAAAATGTTCGAATTTGTCCATTGTAATTCATTTTTTAGGTTACCGTAATAAGCCTTATTCAAATAAATAGTGATTTAACTCTGAGATCACGTTCATTTACGATTTTTAGGGTATAGTGAGTCGGAAAATGTGATTTATTAGATTCTTTTTAAAATGTATTAGTTTTCGAAAAGTTAGCGAGTAATCTACTGTAGGCAATCGAGTACTTGCATAAATTTTCAAATTATATTTGACAGAGAGTATTAGTTTAACAACAAAAATTTGGTGCGCGCAACACACAACTTTCACTTACCGCTTTGCATAGAAATTATTTTCTGGTAATGTTTGGCTATTATAAAACATATGAAGTGCATTTTCGAACGAGCTAAAGCTTAAAGCTTACAGTTAACAAATCAATAATACTATTAAAATAAAAAAAATTCTATTTATTATATCTCCGGTTGATTATAGATTTACAATCCGTTGATTATGTATCATACGACTATTAGTTATCAAACTATTATTTTTCATTGTAAAGTTTACTAAAACGGAATTACGATATTTGTATTGCCTGTTATAGATAGGTCAAAAGTTGTCACACTAATTGTAAGTGGATAATGTTGAGATATCACAAAAGGAAAATTAATCAAATTATTTACTAATTTAATTTTCTAAAAGGTTACATGATGATTTTTCTGAATAAATGGATGATAGATAACCAATCATTTAAATATAACATTAGATCTAGAGTTATTATACTACAGTAAATATATTTAAGGTTATAAACATATCCATGAAATATTTGTATATTTCACTTCTTTTTTCAAGTACAATCAAATAGTATCTTAAATGGTGTCATTGCCTCGATTGCTTGAATTTTAAATACGTATCGTCAAACTTAAATAAAGTTTTAAAAGTTTACATTTACTAAGAAAATGTCATTCAATTTCCTTGAAAACACTCGATTTACGTCAAATAATGTTAGTTTTCGTAAATTATTATTTTTATTTTTTTTTGTCTATTTTATTAGATATTATTTTTTTTTAAATCGTCCGCTTTCCAACGATATATTATACGTATGCCTTCTGACTATTATTTCCGAAGATTCATTTTCGATCTGGATAAGCTTTTTCTTTTTTTCCCCTTTACTCAATCATCAAATTCTTTAAAAAGTTATATTTAGCCTTTTTTCATAACTCCTAACAATGAAAGATAGTTAATTATTTAAAATAAACCAAATTAAAGGTACATAATTGGTAATTGGTTGACTGTCGTGGATAATGAAGAGAAGAATAGTTGGGGTGCTCAGTCAAAAAAGGAAGGCAAAAATAAATTATAATATTTATTTTTTACAAAAATTAAAAAAGTAAAAAAAAAAAAAAAAAAAAAGTAAAAAATAAATATAATTTATTTTTGCCTTCCTTTTTTGACTGAGCACCCCAACTATTCTTCTCTTCAAATTAAAGGTACTTTAGAGGAAGACATATTGAACATTGGGCATTTAAGCTCTGTAAAGTGACACCAATGGGAATAAGACCTAAATGATATTAAAGACCAATTAATTATACAATGATACATTGAGTTTAATCGCATTGTTGGAGTCGTTTTTGAGAAAATTGTAAAAATGTGTTTCCCGTTGATATAAGTTGCTCCTTTTCGTTAGTCGATTTTAGTCAATTTTATAAAAGATAATGGTGAAAAATAAAAAAATCTGTAGTCTAAAATTATAGAATCAATCGATAAGGATTTTTTATTTTTGAAGTGCAAACTTCTTTAGGAGCGTTTTGCGATTTTTTGTGGAGAGTGAATTAGATTGAGCCGTCAGATTTGGGAGTCTAACGCTCGGATAAAACCAACTGGAGTTGACTACTTAAAGTGTCTTTGCATGTGGATTAAAATATCCCAAACAATAAAAATCGGACCTATATATTGTTAGTGAGGGAAACGTTCATCATTTCATCTTCTTTGTAATGGGCTATTTTTAAAAATTGTATCTTAAAGCGAGGCCGTGTTAGAGAGGATAAGAAGGAAGAAATAGTCTCGAAAACTAAATTATAACGAGATTTAATGAAGATATGAATTAAAATATCTCAGAAACTAAAAATCGGATCTTCATACTGTAAGCGAGGGAAATGTTCAACATTTCATTCTCTTTGTAATGAGCTATTATTTATTATTTAACTGATATTTTATATTATTAATCTCGCTTTGTTTATGTTTTCATTTCTATCGTGTGCAGTACACAACTTATTTTTTATTTCAACATTGTTGCTTTATATACATGATCTTTTCCGATTTGAGTTACGATATTCAAGCAACAGCATAGAAATATTGTTAATTAAATATATGAAAAGGTAGAGAATAAACACAAACTTGTGTACTTAGTTTATCAGCTCGCCAAATAATTCGTTTTATAACCGGGGTTTTGTTGTATAACCTACATTATACCATAATCTTGGTGTTGATATTGGAAGTTATATTCAAAATTTAACTTTCCTTAACTTTAAAGTATGTTAAATTAATCCAATTAATTTTATTTATTTGAATTTAATGTCGTCTCTAGTTTTGTTTTAAAAAACTATGATTTCTGCTGAAAAAAGTCAATATTTTTCTACTGAACTCAAATAAAACAAAACAAATCTCGACAGAAAATCCTGATTATTACATTCTGATAGTTAACCAAAATTCTTAAATAAAAAAAAAAAAAACGAGTACATTAACTTCATAATGTTGTTACATAGTAAGGTATAAAACTACATTTAACAAACTCTGAATTTTATCAAATTTGTCTAAAACTGAGAAAAATAACTATAAATTGTCCTGCAACATAAAATGAGTTGCTTAAGAGGAAAAACTCATTATAATATTTATTTTGTACATATGCCGACGTTTCGACCTGAAGTTCAGGCCTTCATCAGGGCTAAGAAAATAACCAGATAACAAGGTATGAGAAACATAAGTAATGATGGTAAAAAAGATAATAAAAAATAAGAAAATAAAATAAAAAAAATTATTAGAAAAATAAAATAGATAGATATAAAGTAAAATGAAATTGTTAGAATAATGACTAAGAACTAAGAGATAAATAATAAAAACTGTTACATAGTGTAGAATGATGAAGTAGGCATAATCAAAAAGGGGTGACAAAAGTGTTACATTGGGAATCTTAGAATAAAATGTAAAAACATAAAAAAGAAATATAAAGTAATATAAGAAATGAAAATAAAATTAAAACATTGAGAATGGAGTAGTTAGATAGAAAATTGAGATATTGTAAAGTCTATCAAGATGTACAGACAATGTATAATATAATAAAGAGTTGACAACAGAGAAAAGGAATGAAAGGAAGGAGGGAAGAAATTGAGAAAGCTGAAATAAGAAAGAAATAAAAGAAGTACTATCTTTCTCCTTAAGTGTCAAGGGGAGAATAAAGTCGTTACAAGGGAGGGGGAGAGAGAAGAGATGTGAATTTTAAAAAATTTTAAAAATTATTATTAAAGAATTTAAAAAAAACTCATATAATCAAAATTATAAGCTTTATCAAAATTTTGCTTCCACTAAGTACTGAAATTTTTATTGTAGGCCAATTATATATTTCGGATCGGGATTTTCCTTATTCCTTTATGGAATTCTGTATCTTTCGACACATCGTTTATCAAAATACTTCACGGCTGAGAGGTGAAAAAGAGGCCTATACTGTAAGTAACAGATTCTAAAAAAAAAATAGCTCAGTAAAATAGATACCTATGCTGTTGAAAAATTGAAAACCACGCATACCTTTATTACCAATTTCTAACCATCGGTTATCCTCTGATTTTGTTCGGAGTAAGTGACCTATATTAAAATAGATGGTACACAGTGGACGCAAAATTTGATGCTCTACAGCTTTGATTCTATGAGATTTTCCTCTTGAGGAACTCATTTCCAAGTTTACAGCAAAGAACCATGGCCATTTATAGTGATTTTTCTCTGTATTTAAAGAATTTGGTAAAAATAAGCGTTGGTTGAGAGTGATTTTATATTATCAAACTTTTTCTATTTGATTAGGTAATAATAACTCGTAAATACCTATTTGCTTTTCACTTGAATAGTAAGATAACTTGGAAACAAAACCGAGAAGAAAGTTGGCCTTCAAAAATATTGAGCCGTTTGGTATGTCCTACATCCCCAAATGTCAAAATATCGAGGTTATTTAGGCCAAACGGTCCAATATTTTTGTAGGTCACCTTTTTAATCGATTTTGTGATCAAATTATATTATTATCCAAGTGAAAAGCAATTGAATATTTACGAGTTTTTAGAACCTAATTAAATAGACAAATCTTCAGATCGAAAACTTTCCGAGAATTTAATTTGAAAATAAAATATTTGTAGGTTACGATAAGATGAAGCTAGTTACGAAGTTTTAGGTGGATATTAATAATGTGTTAATAATAAAAAGGGATCTGTACCACGGACATAACGAGTGATAATTGATTCACAGTTCTTTGGAATTCTTCGATTCACAAAATTTTATTAAATTTAAAATAAAGTATTTTAATTATTGAGACTAAAAAGGCCTTTTTTATACTTATACTTATTAAAGTTTCTTTCCCAAGATCATTTTTTACAGTTCTATTAAGTGTGTTAATTTAAGTTTCAAAAAGATGTATTTTTGAAGTAAAAAATTCTGTAGGCGCGTTTTGCACTTCTTTGTGGAGACTGAATTAGATTGATCCGTCAGATTTCGTTGACTAATTAAATTTTTTTACAAATGAATTTATATTTGAAAATAGATTCATATTACACATTTTTCACCTGTCCTATTTAATTTGGCTTTAGAACATGCCATTAGGAAG